AGACAAACACTAGATAAAATCCTTACCATTTGATGATGAAAAAACAACAATGAAAAACTAAACAAACTGAGACAAAAAAACAACCCCAAAATAGCAATATGTTGTGTAGTAGACCAAGGTAAAAAGAAACATCAACAAAAAAGCAATATTAAACCGGTACATGTTCTGTATATAAAAATATAAAAAGAAGTAACTAACACCAAATACACAATTATATTGTAATTAAGCAAATAAAAAAAGAAAATATATTCTGTTTAGTGGCACCACACAAGTCAACAATATACATGTACATTTTTGTGACAAAACAATATATTGACAATAACTAAAGCAACCCTATATATGGACAATACCAAAAAGCAACAGTATTAAATGGACAAAAAGCCACAGTTTACATGTAAATTGACAAAAAGCAACATTATATAATTATGGAGCATACAATAAAGCAACAGTACTCGTATTTTATGGACAACAAAAGCATCAGATTACATCTGGGACCAAAAATATACCAGTTTACACATAAATTGACAAAAAGCTGCATTATAACGGACAATTAAAAAAATGCACCAGTATGGCCAAAACAACAACAGTTTACATATAAATTGAGAAAAAGCAACAGTATTATATAGACCATACCAAAAAGCAACTGTTAACATGTATACAGACATAAAAGGCAACATTAACAAAAATAAAAGCAACAGTATATATGGATAAAAAGGAACATTCACATGTATGTGGATCAAGACAAAAACCAACAAAGGAGTATGTAACAGTTTATAACAACAAAGGTAAATAGCATAAATGTAAAGACTGAGACAAAACAACAGTTACAATTTTCTGGCAATGGACTCAGTTGAAACCCAACACTTGATATGTTACCGCACTACATTGTATACCTATATAATGACAACAAATGGATAGAGACAAAACATCATATATAGCCTGTCCAGTAATCTCAGCAAAATGATGTCATAAAAGTAGAGCTGTCATTGATAGAGACCACATCAATGTATCTTTTATATTTTTCTGTCGATCAATAATCTATACACATTTGAAAAAATTGATTATTTTGATTATTTAAGTGTCTACGAATTATGAAAATTCACTGAAAACATATACAAAAGCAGGTGGCCATGTCTTACTTTAATCTGTTGTTACAAAATGGATGCAGTGATGATAATATGGTCAGAAAAAAATCATGCAAAGGTCATTTAGCAACGGGAAACAACATATTTGCATGAACAAAACATTTAATTTACTAAAATCATTTGAACAGGTATGAAAAAGTATTATATGCAAGAAATTACAAGTATTTATCAATATATCGATATCAATGTATTGTCAATACTCAATCAATGACAGCTCTACTTCAAAGAATGTTACAGTTTAAATGTGATAAGCTTATTTGTCATTTTTATCCTATCTTTAAATATGGTATTATAGTTTAATATGTAAAGTGCCAGAGCAATTCACCAGTTTTCTATGGATAAAGAAAAATCAAAATTAAAAACAAATTAAAAAAACAAGAGGGCCATGATGGCCCTAAGGTCGCTCACCTGTATGTAGGCCCCCGGAGCGGGGCCAGTTTAAACCCCAGGGCTTTTATTTGAACAAACTTGGAAGACACCTATAAGAAGATTTTTCATGATGTACACACTTAAAATGAAAAACAATGATCTGCCCTCCCCTACCCCCGGCAGGGCCAATTTTAACCCAAGGGCTTTTATTTGAACAAACTTGGTAGACACCCATAAGAAGATGTTTCATGCTAAACATCTAAGCTGTAGCTCATTGGGTTTTTTAAAAGAAGATTTTTTAGGTTTTTACTATATACATATAGGAAAAATCAATGACCCCGGGACGGGGCCAATTTTGACCCCAGGGCTTTTATTTGAACAAACTTGGTAGACACCAATTAGAACATGTTTCATCCTTAATATATAAACTCTAGCTATTTGGGTTTTTTTCAAAGATGTTTTTTAAGTTTTTCCTATACACATATAAGGAAAATCAATGACCCCCGGGGCAGGGCCAATTTTGACCCCAGGGCTTTTATTTGAACAAACTTTGTAGACACTCACTAGAAGATGTTTCATGCTTAATATCTTAACTCTAGCTATTTAGGTTTTTTCAAAGAATACTTTTTAAGTTTTTGCTATAAACATATATAAGGAAAGTCAGTGACCCCCGGGCGGGGCCAATTTTGACCCCAGGGCTCTTATTTTAACAAACTTGGTAGACACCCATTAGAACATGTTTCATGCTAAATATCTTAGCTCTAGCTCTTTGAGTTCTTTAAAAGAAGATTTTTTAAGTTTTTACTATATACATATAGGGAAAATCAATGACCCCCAGGGCGGGGCCAATTTTGACCCCAGGGCTTTTATTTGAACAAACTTGGTAGACACCCATTAGAACATGTTTCATGCTAAATATCTTAGCTCTAGCTCTTTGGGTTCTTTAAAAGAAGATTTTTTAAGTTCTTACTATATACATATAGGGAAAATCAATGACCCCCTGGGGCGGGGCCAATTTTGACCCCAGGGCTTTTATTTGAACAAACTTGGTAGACACTCATTAGAAGATGTTACATGCTAAATATCTTAGCTCTAGCTCTTTTGGTTTTTTAAAAGAAGATTTTTAAGTTTTTACTATATGCATATAGGGAAAATCAATGACCCCCTGGGGCGGGGCCAATTTTGACCCCAGGGCTTTTATTTGAACAAACTTGGTGGACACTCACTAGAAGATGTTTCATGCCCAAGCTCTAGCTCTTTCGGTTTTTTAAAAGAAGATAATTAAAGTTTTTTCTTTCGGTTGCCATGGCAACCAGAGTTCTGCATGGAATTAAATTCTTTGAACAATTGTTAAAGGTGACCACCAAAGGAACATTCCTGTGAAGTTTGGATGAAATTGGCTTAGTGGTTTATGAGGAGATGTCATTTAAAGTAAAAGTTTACAGACCGACCGACCGACCGACGGACGGACGCCGGACGAAAAGCGATCACAAAAGCTCACCCTGTCACTTTGTGACAGGTGAGCTAAAAAAGAAAGAAAAAAAATTTAAAAACAAATTCTAATGAAAAGATAACTAGATCTCATAAAAGTAATGCATGTCTCTCAGGGTAATAGTGGAAATTAGCAACCCAAGAACTGAAGTAACACCCGAGGCGGAACCAATACCAAAACTTATATTCTAATGATATTTTTTACCAATATGCATTAGTACTCTGAGAGCCACTAATCATTGGTTGCGGCCAGGGGAGAGAACTAGAACATAACGTATTCTTAAGTCTATATAGATAACTCTCCCCTGGGGAATATTGCAACAATATATTAACTTCGTGATATGCATTTTCAGGATAAAAGATTGAAATAAACACCATGTACCATGAAGTTAAAAAAAGTGAACACGAAGTATAATAAACAAAAATATTCCCTGAGAGCTATATTCTTCCAACAATTGTAATAGCTAAATGTTGCCAACAAAACAAAACACTTACATGTATATTACATACATACTGTTGAGCTCACACTAAAGGTTACACAAAGAGCACATGGATGCACCCTGTATGCCCCCTGTCACTTGTTATACAATTATCCGATAAACCATTTAGATGTCACCTTCCCTGGCCTGTCTGGTCATATGGTCTAGTGCACTAGAATGGTCTAGTGCACTAGAAGTGCACACTGTGTGCACTTTTAGTTCAGCTCTAGTGCACTAGAAGTGCACAAGGGTGGAAAGTTTAGTGTGAACTCAACTGTATATAGGCAGTGTAATCTCTAAAATATATACTACTTGTTACTGCTTATAACTACTGTTTCTGGATAGCATTGCTTTTTATAATTATACATTTTTTTTATAATTATACATTATAATTTTCACAAAAACATTTCTCTGAGGATGAGTTACATACATCATTCTGCACAATAAACTATCTCAATATAACTATGTGTCGGGTAGCAGAGGTTCAAGTTTGAGGCCAGGGACACATCTATGTCCCACGGCTATTCAGTTTAAACCAATTTTTACTTGTCACTGACAGGACATAAAAAAACATGGTAAACCCACTCAAATGTGCAAGGGAGCAAGCCTGTCAGTGGCAAGCCGTTGTTTCCTTAAGCAAGTAACTTTACATTCACTGCTTAGTACTAGTTGGTTCTATTTGAATATATACAAACAATAACATAAATATATCACTGAATCAACAAAGTATTTTCTGAGTACTTGAATGCCACTAAAAATAACAAAAACATATAACTGAATCAACAAAGTATTTTCTGTATATTTTGATTGCCACTAAAAATAACATAAAAATATCACTGATCAAATCAACAAAGTATTTTCTGTATATTTGAATGCCACTAAAAAATAACATAAAAATATCACAGTAACATATGGCCACCCTGATCAATCAGTATCACAATCAGTTAACAACCTATGAACCATTATATCTTCTACCAGAATCATCTACACTTATAATATATACTGAAACAAAAAAGAAACTTTCTCCAAGTTTGAATGTACATGTAGATATGTTAGTACAGTTTTTCAATCCTTTTGAAACTCGATTTTTACGTTGAATAAACATATGAGGCTTTTATATGGGGATTAGCTGACCGATTTTGCAAACAAAACGAGTTTTACAAGCTACTACATGTATATAAATGTGTACATCTAAGTGGTACCCTTGAACAACTGGCACATACTTTGCGAGTTTCTTTTTTGGTTCAGTATACTACAGCTAGCATTGACTTAGTTAAAGTGACATTATGCCCTGTTTAGTGTAAATCTGAGCTCAAAACTAAAAGTCAATATTGGTATTTAAGTTTTCACTTTATCATAATTGTGTTAAATTTTATATTTTACTATGCAAAAATAATCAATAAACCATGTGACCTACAAACTTTTCTATAAATATTGGAATGTACAAGTTACATCAATATTTAAAAAGTATGGGGCAGTCTTTTTATAATTGAGGCAGCTATTATATTTTATTCTGAAAGCTTTTCATTATCAATAAATTGGTAAAACACCATGTTAAAAGTCAATCTTTTGAAACTCATTACTCAAATGAACTCCACTTGATAGCAAAAAAAAAATAACCATGTCACTGTAGAGATCATTCTGGATAAATTACAAAGAAATTTCTCAAACAAGTCCGGCATCTTTCGCCATGGCATAAAATGCTGATGATGTGTTTTGTAAGAGTGTTTGTGGCGAGTCAAATTCTTGGAGTTCACCATCGCCTAGCACCAAAATTCTGAAAATATGTATAGTATAATGAACATTTGTTACAGAACATATTGAATGTTTTTATAAAAGGGAGAGTGATGGCCTCATGGTTTAGGTCTCTGTCCTCAACCCAGGAATCATAAGTTCAAGCATTACTTGGGACTTGACAATGTTTCTTCATATGACACCAGTACTGCTTGGTTCAAGGACACAGACTCAAAAGTGATTTATAATAATTGCAAGAACTCGTTTTGCAATCAAGCTTAAATAAATATGTTTATTAATAAACAAAAGTTATTATATAAATATTGACATTACATGACATTGCCTATCTTTGTGGTTTTTCTATAACAGATATACCTTTACAAAATGTTGTCTTCAAGCAGATGGCAAATTGTGCAAATCACATTTCTATTGACTTTGCACACACATGTTAAGCATATTTTCGTACAAATTTGAAATCAAAGTACTAAGAACTTTATCCAGATTATATTTCAGAAAGCCATTTGATAGTTTGATACCCAATACATGTGTACATACCTATCATAATCAATAACAGTGTTCAACCTATGAGCTATTGTGAGAACAGTGCAGTCTGTAAATTCTGTGTTTATTGTGTTCTGTATAAGAGCATCCGTCTCTAAATCGACAGCAGCCGTAGCTTCGTCTAACACAAGTATTTTACTTTTTCGTAACAAACTTCTTGCTAAACACATCAACTGTCTCTGACCAACACTGTAAATGACAGCAAAAAAGTTCCATGATATAATAAAATAGTAACACCCCCCCCTCCCCCTCATAATAATATTATAATGAAGTTAATAAATGTTTAACAAATGATAAGAATAAATAAAGAACAAAAGATTTTGTAAAACATGCATGCTCCCTTCGTCAACATGTGGGAAGTTAAATGCAGTGTTGCATGAAAACTGTTTTGGCATACAAGTTCAAAGTCAAAAATCGTTATGACAGTCAAGGTAAATGTGACCTTGACCTTTCACCCTGCAACCCAAAAATCAGTCATCTACTTGCCAAGACCAATGCACCTGTACAGTTTAAGGGTTAAGGGCCCAAAGGTTGTTGAGTTTTTGGTTGGAACCTGTTTTGATATAAAAGGTCATTGTGACCTTGACCTTTAACCTATAAACCCCAAAAACAATAGATTAATCTACTGGACATGACCAAGTTTGATGTTCCTAGGGCAAGGCCTTCAAAATTAATTGATCAGAAACTGTTTGTCTACAGATGGTCAGACCGGGGGCACCAACTGACCGACATGTGCAAAGCAAATTATACCCCACCTCTTCAAAAGGGAGCATAATTATTTACAACAAAAATATAATTTTTAGATTTCTATTGTGCCACATCAATCATTTAATTACAAATGTTTTCAGAATGCATTTCTTTACATTAAAACTGCAATAGTTTTGTACTGAAACTAAAAAACATATTTTGTATAATGTCAGTGGCACCTGAAAAGATATCATGTTCAATGAAACACAAAAAATGTACCTAAGGTTCTGTCCTCCTTCTCCAACCTCGTATTCAAGTTTTGTAGGTAAGCCATCTACAAAAGGTTTTAGATGTGCATGCTCCAGGGTAGTCCAAATTGCTGAGTCATCATGCTCACCTAGAGGATCAAGATTCATCCGCAAGCTCCCAGAGAACAAGACTGGTTCCTTGAAGTAGAATTTTTTTTTGTTTTTAATGCAATTTAGGCAACAATGATAACTGAATGGTTTATATTTGTACAAAAATATGGCATGACAATATCATTTAAATATGTACAAAAACAAAAAAAACATTTGAATTAATGGAGCTCCACTATGAATTTCTTAGAATTAAAATGAAAAAAAATACACAAAAGATAATGAAGAAATATGCTCAGAATTCAATTCAAAATCAATTTTTTTGTGTGATTGTTAGCCCGATCTGAGTAAAAAACATTGTGCACGATGCTTTTCATTTCTGGTCTTTTGCACAATAAGAAAGAGGATTCTGCAAAACAGTATGAGGGAATAATCTGAAATTTTGCACCCAAGTTATAAGTCCAGACTTTCATCAAATGGTAAACAACTCTCGGAAATATATTTCCAGTCCTGTCATGTGAAAAAACCCTCAGTTGAGTCCCTTTAATACAAAAATGATTATCTTCTGTTATCAGAGATAACTATTACCTTTTTATTTCGTTGTTTCTTCTTAATAAAATAGTCAGTATTAGCCACCTTATAATTGTGAATACCTGCCTTTCAGTGAAGCATTTTCTTATATAGGGAAAGGCACAAAATCCAGGAAAAAACCCCAACAATGAATATTTTTAGCTACCTGTGGTAAAATGGTAAGTCTTGATCTCAAATCATACAATCCAAGATGGCTGACATCCTGTCCATCTACCAATATTCTCCCACTTGAGGCCTCTATCAACCTAAACAACGATAATGTCAGTGAAGATTTTCCAGCACCAGTACGTCCCACAATTCCAACCTAAATCATAAATTTCACAAAGACATTTATATTAAAATACAATGTACTCAGATCTAAATGCATAAATTATGTTTCAAATGAATGACACTTGATTTTACTCTATGAATGTGAATGTCCGTTGTCCGTCAATATTTAGCATGTGTCACAGGGTGAGAAAAATGTGCAGCCTGACCGGGACTCGAACCCGGGACCCTCGGAATACCGTACCGCGGCTCTACCGACTGAGCTATCCGGCAGCTTACACATCATCTCCCCTAAATAGTGAACAGTTCTGAACCGTGACATACTCCCCTGCTATATTGAAATTCGTCCTCGAATTTCACAGAGTTACAGAGCAATGTAAATTAAACTCTGAGCTATATCAGTCACGGTCCCCCGTTGGGCGCCAAATGTCACAGGGTGAGAAAAATGTGAAGCCTGACCGGGACTCGAACCCGGGACCCTCGGAATACCGTACCGCGGCTCTACCGACTGAGCTATCCGGCCGCTTACACATCATCTCCCCTAAATAGTGAACAGTTCTGAACCGTGACACATGTAAACACTCTAGTGGTCACAGAACCATAACCTTCTTTACCAGTCTGATTAGATTTTATTGTTTGAAAATTTCTTAGCATTTTAATTTCTAGTCAAAAACTCTCACAGTAACAAGACACAGTTTAAAATTCAAAGCATGATGAGTCAGATAAAGGAGGGTGTTGGACCTGTAAGTTGACATCCTGTCATAATAAACTATATATGTTAATATCTTTATTAAAGTCTCATCCATAAATAACAACATATTAAATAGTTCAATAAGATAAAAGTTGTTTGTGTATAGCCATTTTATTTTGAATTAAAAGTAACATAGTGGAAGGGAGGCAACTCCAAAGTTCATACTGCAAGGATTTCAAATATGCCTTGCAGAGTTATCTCTCTTCCTATTCCATATTTATATAAATATTACAACTTAAATATGAAACTATTGTTAATCTTGTTCTGAAGGAACTTCTGGTAATATTGCTTTATAATAAACTAGTATACAAAGTATTAATATTCAGAAAATATCTCCTGATTGCACCATTATATATCATAAATACCAAACATTGACAACTTTATGTAATAAACAGATAAACCTTTTCTCCTGGATTTATATTAATGTTGATGTTTTTCAGCACAAGGCTCAAACCTTCTCGATATCGTGTAGAATATGACTCTAGTTGTACATGACCTCTGTCTGGCCACTCCTTCCTCGGTGGTTCACTTGTATGTAAAGCTGCCTGTAAATAATACATTCATAGGTTATTTGTATATTCATATACATTAATGATAATAAAAGAATTGTTTTAATATATAAGCAAATCTGTATGAGTGAAGAACACAACCGACAATGGCAATTGTACATTCTGAACCTTCCCAGCTTTACTGGAAAAGACAGAAACCCTGATGTTCCTTAATACACTGTTTAAACCATGGGCAGGTGACCGGACCAGGTAGAATTATAGACTATTTTAAAAGCTACAATATAGTGAACAGCTTCCTCATATAGATAGAATTACCCACAACTGTTTGTTTTCAAACCCAAGGCAATAATGAGTTGGAAACACGATGTTAGCTACATTAATTTCCAAAGGCAACTTTGGCCCCAGCATAATTTTCTAGGAAGTCTTCAGCTTACATCAGAAGGACAGTGTGCTCAACTATTCTTTGTTTAAAGTAAAACATCAGAGCCCTGATAAAGTTATAATTTGTAATGAGGAAGATTTCATCCAAAAATATCCTTGACATACATATACTTATGAATAAGTCTTCAAAGAATTGTGTATGTTCACAAATAACCATAATTAATTCAAAATCCATGCCAGAGTTAGGGGCCTTCGAAATTGACCTCCAATAATGATCCTAAAGACATGTATAATGTTCAAGTGGATACCATCAGCTTTTTCTGAAGTCTGATGTTGCATGCAAAACTTTAATTTCAAAACAAGATATTAGTTCTGTCAAGATCCGTTCTAGAGTTAAAGGCCTTTTATAAATGACCTGCTTGTATAAAAGCATTCATAAACAGACTCACTCTGCAATTTTCATATATTTTTGTTGTTTTCAGTGCTGTCAAGAGATTACCTCATTTTCTAGATTTTTGTACTGATACACTGACGAGCAATTATCTTAAAATGTTTTGGACTGTAACAATACAAACTTGATCCAACTAGTAGGAGCCAACTTGTCCGTATATATGTCATCAAAACAGCAGTGGACACATATTTGTTAATCATTTTGTTACATGACTAGTAAATGACATCTGCTGACAAACCCCAGGGTCAATAAACCAAATGCTTTATACATCCATTAAAAGACAGTTGCAATTGCCCTGGATATAAAGGGTTGATTGCAAAACTGCAGTAACTTTTAAGAAATAAAGGCCTTACAGCAGTTTTGCGGTCAAACCTGTATATGTTCTTAGCCTTTTATAGTTAGAATATGAACTAGAGGAACTCTTACCTCTGTAGGATTTGTTGTATACTGTCCGACTCTCTCTACACTGACAATGTTAGTCTCAAACTCACTCACCATTCTCACCAACCAGTTCAGATTCTCTGTTATCTACAATAATAATAAGCCAAGTTTTCCATGGCATATCTAAAATTAACCATTTAGTAGGGCAGCGGTGGCCAAGTTGTTAAGGTGTCTGACTTTCAACCCAGGGATCATTGGTTTGAGCCCTAATCTGGTCACCACCATGTTTCTTCATATGACACAAGTACTGGTTGGTTCAAGGAAGTGGACTTGAAGGTGATTGGTATATTAGTTGCAATCAAGCTTAAATAAATATGTTTAAACCAACCCTTTCTGCTGAATTTCTCAAATGAACTTGCCCAGCTTCCATTTCTTAAATCAGTTTTGGTTATATTACAATGAGAATTTTATTGTAAACCAACAGTTAAGAGCCTGGTTAGGTTGTACAGGTGTACAGGCTGGCCTGGCTCTGTAATGGTGGCAAAGTCTAATAACTTTAATTTAGGTTCGCGCTGGGTAAGGGATTTTAAGAAAATTTCTTTTCTGCTAAGAACAGAACAGAAATTAAAACTTCTCTGTAACCAAAGTAAAGAAGGGAAATATTTTCAGTTATCTATATGAATACAAGTCATTATACAAATTTGTTTTGATCTAGGCTGTCTGTCTACCTAACAAGCATGCCTGGGTAACAAACCACTAATTAATAATTGACCGACTACTTATTCTCATGATTTTTCAATTAGCGGTGACAGACAAATGACCATTAGACTCCACTTTCGAAATCAATTGTCAGAAAGACATTTTTTCTCAACCAAGGATAAAACTCCTTGAGTACAAATGCTATGTTGCCTGTCTTAAGCTAAGCAGGCAGATACAAATGTCACAAATTTTCTGTTATCTATAATGGTCACAAGGCACTATCTTATGTAATCTACATAAAAATGACAATACTGTCCCAGGGTTTTACATCTCTTTGAAATTTTAGGGGTCCAGTGGATGCACAGCCTAGAAAAGTAGTGGTCCAGGCCTGAATTTTAGGGGTCCAAAATTATTTTCACTATATAAAAGACTATGAAGACCACTCTATTTTGCTTAAAATCATTTATTTACCCTGTAAGAGATATGCATGTAAATTGTACTGTTTTCATAATTAGAAGTATATGATTTCAATATCTTTTATCACTAGGTTTTTTATAGCCCTATAGTAGCCCTTTGTGCTATTTCCAAGGCTTATAAGTCTTTGAGTGGCTGGAATGTCAAGTTTTAGTAGCATATTTTGTTATTGATAAGGTGATTACACCAACAGACTGAAAATTTGTACTGATCTATTTGTAAATATTTTAGCTGAACTAGTAAACACACAATATATAACTTTACAGACCAGTCAGCTAAATATGTTGCGTTTTTAAAAATATCATATAACAAAAGGCTGACGAAACCGCTTTTGCACCTCCTCATAAGCTGGGGCATACTTGATGTCCCAGTCAAAAGTTAAGTTCGCCGAAACCATTATATTTATAACACCAACGATAATAACATACCCAGTGACTTAATTTCTATAACACTATGAAAATAAGTTTGCAAAAAGCACTGCCTTTTTTATTATCGCCGTTCATGTACAAAATACATTCGCATCGACATTGGATACGCTAACCAATATTAATTGCTTGTTATAAATAGTCCGTCTAAATATAGCAACAGAAAAACCAAAAACAGCTACCTAAAATAGATTTTACGGTAAACGTCATCAGTTACTGTAGCTTGCACGATAAACGTCATCAGTTTCTGCAGCGGGCACTTGCAAAGAGCATGCGCAGTAGATTTCAATTATGTTAACTTCCGAAATAAACAATGCAAGCATTTTCTGCTCGCTGTATTAGATTTAAATGGAATTTTGTGAGCTTTGAGAAGAAAGAGATAAAATCATGTCGGGCCAGAAACAATAATATCTATTGTCTAGGATTATTTTTTGTGCGTACACTTGGACGCAAGTGGATAACTTATATGCGTACATGTCAAAATTTATGGATATAGGGACGCAAAATTCTGCGTCCCGTAAAACCCTGCTGTCCTTAGAAAAACAAAAATTATACAGTAAAATTCCACTGAAGCTTCAATAATGTTGCCATTAATTCTTTGCCGTCAATAATTATGGTAGAGTAAGGAATATTTTAATAACTTAAATGGACAAAAAACAACAGCATGTTGGGGATATCTCCAGACCTTATATTAACCACAACATGCTGAATTTCTTAAATGGACTTATCCAATTTCCATTTTGGAACAGTCCATTATTGATTTTAGGTATATCAAGGTGAGAATTTGAAGTTTGTCAGCAAACAGTAGAGAGCCTGGTCAGTCTATACTGGTGGCAAAGACTTTTATCACTTTTGCCTTCAGCAGGGTAAAGGTTAAAGATAAATAAATATTGTAAGTGTATTCACCTGTAAAGCGTAGGAGACAGAAAGTCCTACTAGTGCCCCATTAATGTTATTTCTCTCTAAAACAGAAAACATGGAGGCTGCCAACACAATAACTGCTCCCATTTCTTCCAGTCGAAAACCTAGCCATCTGCAACAATAAAACAAAACAGTTATAAATGTATCCTCAGCTAGAGGGACTATCCAAGACTAAAAGGTTATTAGGGCTTAAAACCATGTAAAGATGCGCTAAATGTTAGCGTCAATGAAAAAGTGATTCATTTTTACTGTAAAAACTTTTTATTTTGGATAGGTGATAAATACAAATCAATTAATTTGCTTAAATAGATCATTATACCTGTTAACAGTATTACTGGCAAATGAATATTCCTGGTTGTAATCTACTCTATGTTCTGACTCTTGTATAAACCTATCCTGCACCTTGAAGGCTCGTATAACACTAGCACCCGTCAAACTCTCACTAAAATTATTGTAGATTGGAGATCTTGTCTTGGATTCAAGTCTCTTTAACTGACGTGATGTAGGTATATAAAATCTCTGAAATGTGAAATTCTTTTCATTTTAACACTCTCAATACTGGAGCCTAAACTGTTGTATAGAATCAGACTGATAATCCATACTGGCTGACAGAACTTAAATATTTTGATTTAATTTTCCCTAAAACTTTGTATTTGACTGTCTCCAAACATATTGGACTATCTCCAAACATATTGGACTGTCTCCAAACATATTGGACTGTCCTGTCTCCAAACATATTGGAGAGTCTCCAAACATATTGGACAGTCTCCAAATATACTGTACAGTCTCTAAACATATTGAACTGTCTTCAAACAGATGATGGACAAGACCATTCAGCAAAATCAGTAAAATCTCTATATAACCTTTATATCCCCTCACACTGGTTTGCCCAGCTTACCATTTGGAACTATCCCCCCTTCCCCTTTTTTTCAAAAGGATTTCATCATTAAAATACTGGATTAATCAAACTCCAGTATTATCTGGTCAGACAGCATAGATCCATGGCTCTATATTGGTAGAAATATGATATCTTTTTGCTGCTAGAACTCAAAAAGATTACCATACTAAATATTGAAGCTGTTGCCTTAAATAAATATTTCAAATATTATCTGTAACTTGAAAGTTTTTTTTACATTACTTAATACAGAAATAATGTTAACACATATTTTTCTGCCACCATATGACATTTGCTGTGTTTTTTTTTGTAAATCTTACACAGTAAAGTTATGACTCATGATAAAGAAGCACATTCTTTCTATCCCCTAGTATTACGGGAGTTAAACTGGCTAATGTGATAATTTGTTCTTCATTTGCTTGTTAAAATTTACAAAGAGTAACAGTACCTTTGTGGTTTCCTTTTATGCACATTAACACCAAACATTACAGGCATGTCAATAAACCACCAGGTTAGGGAAGTCCTACAAGTGACGTTGCTTTCCAGATATTTTTACTTCGGGCTTGATCATAATAAACTACATAAACTAATTATAACAAGCACATAACATCTTATATATTGGACTACAGTGACCACTGTTAATCATACATTACTTGTCAAATATCTTACCTGTAACATGATATAAACTACTCCAACTGGTATAATGACACTCAGGAAAATTGGTGTACTGTACGATATGATGATCAATATACTAAACACCAGGTAAAAACTGTACAACACTTCAACAAACATGTGCGGTAATGTTGAATCTATGGCTTCTATGTCCTGAGAAAATCGGTTCACTATACGTCCAACTGGCGTTGTGTCAAAAAACCACATGGGTCCTCGTAACACGTTGGTGAGCATGTTTTCATGAAGTATTTTAGAAGCTCGCACACAACGAATAGCTTGAACCAGGGCATACGAAATAACAAGCAGGGCTGAAATCAATAATATTTAGATATATGCATATATATATATATACACTATGTATGCACACTTTACATCAAAATGTTTGCATATGACAAAACGGTCGAAAATAAAACTTGCATAGTTTATGTGTTCTATTGCTATAAATGAACTAAATGGCAAAGTTTTCATTGTAATCAAGGTTTATAAAGCACATGGAAACACTTCTTATCATTACGTTGATGTGATGTAGCTAATGAGCTAGTTTACTGAAAGGTGTTGATTTGACTCATACCTGATATAATGTGGGGGGCGGGGAGTGTTGAAGTATAACTTCAACAGTTAAGGCTGGCAACTTTTCTTTCTTTTTTTCTAACAGGTATTATCCCTTATACTTACATACTGTAATATATTATATAAACATCCCATTCTTGATTGTTTTACTTAGTGAATGTACAAGGTCCAATGGTAACACTTTCTGGCTACATTAAATCACCTTATAGTCTAACAAATACAGTCAGCATTGTACTTGCGAAATGACGTTTTTATATCACAGCCAGCGTCCACTAAATATCGTCCCAAATATAAGAAATTAAGTGTTAAAGTATCTATTTTCCAAATTCTATTGAGAGACAACCTTATTAAGAGACCACTTTTGGAAGTCCCTTGAGTGGTCTCTTTATACAATGTTGACTGTATATACAATAATCCTTCTTTAAAGACTAGATATCAAGGCCATCTTTAGTGCTCCATTTCACCCTGTTTGCAAAACAGCAAATTGTTGCAGAATATTACAAACAAAAGATATAATAAACACTGTTTTAAATATGGCAGCTATAAACAGAAGTTTGTAAAAGAAGAAAATGACTGACCTTGACCTACACCAAATGCTCCATATATACCCAGGTAATAATCATTCTTGTGTCTTCTTTCTGTACTGTTAGCTGGCCAGTATGTCAAATTCTGAAAATCAACAAATGACCAAATATTAGATAATATTTGTTTTTTGTTATATCAATATGTATTACAATATAACTTGAACAAAATTACAATCAATGTTCTTTAACAGTTTTAATGAAAGCTTGAATATAGAAGCCAACTCCTGTTTCAATTTAAAAATGTATTGTTTTATTTAGAAGTACACAATGAAAAATGATTCTTTTCGCTTTAAAACAGTCTTTATTTTGGATATGTGATTAAGACACTATCAAATTTGTGTTGGTTCACTTCTCACAAGTAAACAGGTTTAAAATATGGATTAATTCTTAAAAGGCAAGGGTACATTTTGACAGTTGAGCGTACATTAAATATGCACTTTAGAGATAAAACATTAAAATGTTAAAATATTAATTTTGATCAATATGTGTTCAGAACAATGAGAGATGTCTTTTAATGCCCTATCAACAAGATCTATTCCAAACCCTAAAATCAAACGTATAAACTAAACCTTAAAATTTCACTCATAATGAAGACGATTTCATTCACCTATTGGCACATGAGTATCATCAACAACCTTTAATAAGCATATTTTATCAAGTAGCGAGCCGATTATGCTATTAAAAAAAAAAAAGGTATTACAAAGTATATAGACGCAACGTTATTTGCATTATACAAACAGTGTGTAAATACGCACTAAATAATAGCATTACACAATATATGTGTTGATGAAAAATTATTCTTTTGCACTTTAAACAGTCTTTATTTTTGGTATGTGATAAAGAGAATATCATATTTGTGTTGGTTCAATACTAAATTTATTGAACTTGTTGAATAAAATCATATCATGCTTGCCTCTAATTTTATTCAAGGTGTTCAATAAATTCAGTATGAACCTACACTCATTCAATATCCTCTATGTGTATGATCCTAACCTTAAGTGGTAAGGGAAAATATATGAGCTGCGTCACCACAAAACCAACATAGTGCGTTTGCAACCAGCATGGATCCAGACCAGCCTGCGCATCCGCGCAGTCTGATCAGGATCCATGCTGTTCCCTCACCAACTCTATTACAAGTAGAGAAACTAAACTGATAGCGAACAGCATGGATCCTGATCAGACTGCGCAGATGCACAGGCTTGTCTGGATCCATGCTGGTCGCAAACGCACTAGTTAGTTTTGTCATGATTCGGCTCATAAATAAAAACATACCTGTAATTTATCATCAGACGTCCAATCTGTGAGCCAAACACTAGACCATACAGAAAGTGCCTGGTATATACCATACAATATGACAACTGCTAGACATGACTTGTAACCCACTGCTTTAGCATATGACATGAAAACTGAAACATTTACCTGAAATAAAATATGGTATACTCAAGATGTGTGTGTGTATTTGAGTTTATTTATACTTGCTACCGGTTGCCCATATGGGCAAGTCCTCCAGAAAGGTATTAGTCATTTTAGAATTTTGGATGATAGTGCAAGATCAGATACAGAAAGATGTCCCAATTCCAGAAGCTTCTGCTAGTTCTTTAGCATGCCATGTGGTTAAGCATTCATACAGGGGACCTCAATTTAAAGTCACACCTAAAAGACTGATTAGTAATTGTAGTTGTTCAGCCCAGGAATTGATTCCCAACAATGTTGAGATTACAAGTCTCGCACTCTAACCCATTGAGCTATGCGGGCTGGCATTCCAGAAAATTGCTTGTGTACTAAGGCATATAAACCTGACACAATATTTGTTTTCTTACAACCTGATAAATAAACCTGACAGAATATTAGACATAACTGCTTGAACACCAGAAATTAAACTTAACATAATCATGCTAGAGGGGCTTGAAACATGTTGCACATTACATTATTTCTCATGAACAGACTCAATAAAACTAAGTTGGCAATTTTTTTATATAATATTGTTTATTGGCAATTTAACACCGTTTTTGTTCTTCTTTGTGTATTGTGACCGAATCACGAGGCATGAGGCATTTTAGAATTAACTTTTAGAAATAAAAATCCCTTAATTTAATAATGGACTGCTCTAATATTCAATCAAGACAAGTTCATCACACAAATTTAGCAGGGTAAAAGGCTAAAAGCCAACTCATTTTAAAACTTACATTGCCAACTTCTAATTCCTCCTCTTCAATAAGTTTAGAATTATCTGTTACACTTTCTTTATCAGACATCACTGACACTTGACCCTTGTACGACTTTGAATGGTCATCTTTGTGACCTTTCTCCGACTCTGAAATTCTCGCTGATCTGAAACAAAAATATCACAGTTTTCCTGCTCCCAAAGACAATTGACTGCATTTTATAGAACATTTTTCATTTGTGTTTTGTACTGTTAGGTCTAAAATCAGTGTCTATTGGAGATGTTTAAGCTTTAACAGATGCAGGAACATTCTTAATGTCTTCTCCATGAAATATTTAAGGTGCAGTCTTGCATCCATGTAAAACCGCCATCATTAAGAAACATAACTGACTGGCTTTCCCATATGATGAAATTTAAAATCGATTGGGAATAAAAAAAACCCAACTTAATGAGCATAAATTTCAGCTTGAATTAAAATCAATACAAAAACTAACTTAACGCTGTCACCCTCTAACAGCTTTCAAAACATAAACTGTAATTAAGCTCTTAATAAAGAATACTGGAATCATATTCTTAGCTAACTTGTTATTCTGATATCAATATATATAAAAGGTAATAAACTTAACACCTCTAAGTTGTGTTACAGATAAGCTATAATCAATGAATTTAGAACTATTTTCTTGTTATTTCAACTGTTTTCAGTATCAAACAGTCTTTTATTGTACAGACAACACATGCATAGACTAGCTTGGCTCCAAACTGTAAGCAAAAGCAAACCTTAGCTGCACCAACATTTTTTGTTTTACCTTTTTACCAAAATGTTTTCCAAATTTTCGGCATCACTATCAGACTGTATTGATACAAGACGCTGCAGTATAACTTTCTTTATATTCTGTGCTATAAAAAGATAAATGCTACTATAAATAGACATCTATAAAAACATGATACTAACACAAATTTTAACTCAAAATTATTTTTCAAAAAAAATATATTAAAGCAACAAGTTGGATTTGTAGTTCTTCTATTAAACATAATTCAATACTTCAATAATTTTAATTTTGGTGAAGAAAAAGGCTTTTAAGTAAAACCAACATTTTAAGTTCATATATCAAGATATATTTGTGTGGGTTATTTTCTTTAAGTAATTTTTCTTTACATTTTATATATATACACACATATATATTCTACAAATACTAACCCAAATCATGAAAAGTGACAAACTTTAGTATTGTATTTCATGTAAATCAATACTATTGTAATTTATTAAAAACACTACAGTAAAAGTGGGAAACTCTGGAGTTCACCAAATATGACATACATGGCAACACTGCTCAGATAGTAAAACTTTTGACAAATACCTGATAGTACATACAGAAAATGAATTTTTTTTTACAGAACTCAAGATTAGTTTTTTATAAAAAACATACTACCTACATTAATGTTAGACCTTCATAATGTAACAATTTGACCTTTGACCTACTTACCTTCTTCATCTTCTTCCTCAACTTCTTCTTCATGCTCTATCAAATATGTCCTTAAAAACTTGGCAAAAGCCCCATCATGACTCAGCAATTCATCATACGAGCCCAGCTCAGATATCACACCGTTAGAAATCACAAAGATCATATCAACCTTTGGTAACCAATGGATACCATGAGTCACCAGTACTCTTGTCTGAAAAAAAAACAACACAACAAATGTGGGATACTCAAATGCTCAATGTAGTTCAGCATATTTCTATCCATTCTCTTTTATATACATGTAATTAGCATATTAGAATGAAAATAGACATTAATTTTTCTTTCATTATAGTTTATTAATGCACAGTTTATCATTCAAATGCTTTATAATTAATCACTCAGGTCTACTGACCTGCATGATAATATTCCTATGCATTTGAACTCCAACCATGCATTATTCTACAACAATGCACACGAAGTTGATATCTATTTCCTAAATAACAAATTGTTCAACAGAAAAATCTTGTTGGTAGGCTTTATATATAGATTTGATGTAAAAGAATTTCTAGCAGTTATAAATTGATAGAAATCATGGAATACCTTAAGCAGCTTGTAAAGGACCTTACACCGGCTGCCGGTATGGACCAGTATTTCTTGCTCAAGGGTAACTGTTTATAGTGGTAATTAGGTTCTGCTGTATTTCCACTAAACAGTAAATTACCAGTTGACTATTAATATTCCTGTCTGTGACCACAGCCAGTGTTTGATTCTTTTTCTTGCATATTACAAATAATGATAAATATTACACAAAAAAAAATACAAAAAGTTTTATTTCAATTTAGTACATTTATCTTATAGTAGCGTATGAATTTACAACTTCATTCATAACTGGACAATGAAGTCATCCTAAGAAAGCAATTCATTCATTAAAAATAACATGGGAATGAGGTCAAGAAAAACTAGTTTTACATGGAGATGTATGACAGGTTTTTCTAGAACTGGTGTAAACAGTAGACAATCCTGTCTGATATGCAGGAAATACTTTCCTTATCTTACCTTTTGTTTCAGCAATCCTTGTTTACCAATGACTTCATCAAATATATGTTTACCGACATGAGAATCTACGGCACTGAGTGGATCATCTAGAAGGTAAATATCACTATCAAAATACACCGCCCTAGCCAGACTAATCCTCTGTTTCTGTCCTCCACTCAGATTAATACCCTATAAAATAATTCATAACAAATATATTCAATTTTGTTTCTGACAAAATGTATATATCATTTGATTTTTTTAAAACTTTTTACAATGTACATATAAGCAAGACCTTTGACCACCTGGGGGCAAGGTCATTTTTGACACTTAAAAGACACACAAACACTTAATTTGGCAACTTAACCTCATGAAGATTTTTTGAGATTATAGAGAAATTTTGGCAAAAGATATAAAAACTTGGTTGGTGTTAAGGTATAGACATTCTGAACAAGAGCTTGTTGAACCAGGTGATGGTCCCCGGATAGGTTTTGGACACAGAGAAGTTGTTTCTTGTTGATATCTCTTGTAGTTTCAGTGTTATGTCCCAGACAATGCTCAAATTGTAAAAATAAAGAAAGGGCAATTACTCCAAAATAAGGCATTAGGAATTACTACAAGGCAACAAATACCCAATGTTAAAAGGCTTAGTTTCATCCATCTTCATTTATTACCATGGTTTGTAAATTATATTTTTTACTTCCGTATTTCAAATCAATTCTCACCTTTTCTCCTATTTCTGTCATATCCCCACCTTGAAGAATGTCAAGGTCACTTTTGAGAGCACAAGCATCTATAATTTTCTTGTATTTCTTACTTTCTACCTGCTGGCCAAATATAATATTGTCTTTTACAGTAGCATTCTGTATCCAGGCTTGTTGTGGAACGTATGCTGTACTTCCCTACAATTTATTAAACTTCATTAAACAGTCTAAGAATAAAAGAAGACTGGTAACCCTAAATTATAAACATTCCTAAAATTAGAACATTTTCTGGCAACTTTCATCTCTTTGGCTAAGACTCCATGGAAATGAATGGGAGATTAATTCTCACCACTTTGTACTTCAAAAAAGACGCCCTAGGGCTATGATGATGATATGGGTGGGGGTCAGTGCTGGTTGGCTGATAATGAAAAAAATAATTTAGTGATGGATGGCTGATAATGAAGAAAATAATTTAATCAAAAGACTACACAGTCATAATGTATTTAAAACAGGTGTTCCCAGTATTAGCCAATCTTCTGTTTTATAACACAAAAAAAATTCAACTTACATCTACATTAACTTTTCCATTTATTTTCTGCATTTCACCCAATATGGCAGACATCAACGAGGATTTACCCGCCCCGACAGTCCCTACAACAGCTACCAGACTTCCTTTTGGTACCTTCATAGTTATACTAAAATTGTAAAGAATTTTGAAGCTTTTCAATGAACATGTCTAATAGTCAACATACAAAACAATGTTTACCAGCTGTTTTTAACACAAATAATAAAAGCAAAATAAAATAGAAGTCAAATTGAAGTCAAATGAGATAAAAGTATTTTCATTGACTCAACATGGAATCTTCCTCTAAACTTTTTCTAACACATAAATTTTTAAGGTGACAAACTAGTATGAAACAATTTACTGTATTAGCAATTATTTTAAAGTTAGCAACACAGAAATATTGGCGAATTTCGCAGATTGACAAGAAAAAAGCTAAAATTTCCTCAAGCATAAATACTCAACCAACATGTCAAAAAATTCTACTCTTGCATGATTTTGCTAATATTTCCTCATGCGAAATGTCTGGACTTTTAAATTTGCAAACTTTAAAAAAATTTCAACACACATAAATATCCACTTATATGGAATGACAAATCTATGTGACTTATCTGAAAATCAAAGTATTCTTATGCAATGCTAAAAAAATGAACACCTTACATTTAAAATTTTGTGGCCCCTACCAGAAGCTCACCGTATAAAAATTGTAAATGAACGGGGATGGCATCTCATTTTAACATGTGGCAATGATATCTGATAAAAAAATATCTCAAACTTTATGTACTTACTCTTTCAAACATGGTCCTATTTCAGGATCCCATGAAAAAGTTCCATCTTCTACTTTAATGGCACTGTCTACAACATACCAACACATCAAACACTAAATACTTTTATAGAAATCTATGTTACATAATGTTACCTAAAATTGTACACAAAGTTTTACATTTGTAAAATTGATATTTCATACAGTCAATAACATTTGCTATGATTTTCCCTAATACTGCAAAATCATTACTAATATCATTCTTTGGGAACTAATTTTCGTCATTTTCATGGATAATTCAATCCACAATTTTAAGAGTTCAATAAAATTTCATTTCATCTGCTGTAAAATTATTTTTTATCACATTACATAATTTTACCTTTTGGAAAAATAAAACAGTCCACAAATTTTATTACCAACGAAAAATGTTCTCTGTGACAAAACCACGAAATTTCATGCCCACGAAATAAAAAAAAAAATCACAGTATCAGCGTCTACACATTGAATGTTCATACAGTACTGGGATATACGATCGATCGTATGTCCCAGTACTGTGGGAGCATTTCAAAACAATCACTTGCTGAAGAACAGATAAGGGGAAAATTGCACAGGAAGAAGGAACATAGATAAAATAGCTGCTAGCTAGTACATAACAGAAAAACTGTTAAACGGACTCCACTGATGTCTACAAACCTAAAAACATAAAGTTTGAATTTCTTACATAAATAAGCTGGGCACTTAAAACAGACAGATAGGCAAAGATAGTTTAGAAATGTACTTAGAAATTAGTATTTTTGTGCTTTTCTTAGTCTGATCATTGCAACACTTTTCAGTTTTGGGGTCATTTTTAACAATTTAAATAATCATTCTAGAAAAAGGAGAGAGCGAATGATCTGAAATTTTGCTCAAAGGTCTTGAACAACATCAAATGGAACATTTATCCCGAAAAAATATTTTCAGTCCTGCCATGTCAAAAAACCTCAGTGGAGTCCCTTTAAACTGATACTCAACACAAGCAACAAACCTATCTGATCAATCTACTACCTACCTGATGGATCATGGGATACATTGGTAAAATCTAAATCTTCATTATTCAGAAACTTTCCCATTCTCTTAATTGATACTGATGCCTTGATAAGTTCCATAAACATTATTGGTGCTATGTTCAAGGCAAACCGTAAAATGTTGAACAGCGTCATGGCAACAAAGGCAGCCTGGGGATCAAACTTGTGATCATCTTGTGTATAGATGTAAGTAGCAAATGTTGCTAACCCAACCTGTTTAACAGCACAAAGGAAATCTATTTTAACTTTGCACAAGCACTTTGAATATATATAGTAATTCAAGAGGAAAAAGCAAGATATACTCATAATTTCCATATCAAAGGTGAACACAAGATTTTTTTTTAATTATTTTGTTTATTAATTACCACAATGAAAAAAATATTCCAGCATGAATTTATGTGAAATAACTGATAAAGATCACAAAATTAACGAACAGGAATATTTTCCAAAACATTTAAGGATTTTGCCACAAAAAGAGCTATATAGTTGTACCACAAATGGAAGCTTACCAAAAGACTCAATCAAACCAAGTCTGCAATTTTCACGTAATTTTGTTGTGATAAATCCTTCCGAGGGATCACTTTATTTCCAAATTTTTGCCAAAAATGAGGCAAATAGCTTTTTGACAATATAAGTCACACAGTCTAAACACAAAGTGTGCTACAACAATAGAAGCTACAGTCTTACCGCAAATGGAGCTACAGTCCAGGAGAAAATTGAGAGACTATAAAGAATCTGACCCTTCAGTAAAACTGCCAACTCTTTACTTCGGATATCTGTAACTTTTTTTCCAAAAGCCATCTCCCAGGCATACAATTTCAATATCTGAAAATCATATTCATGATGTAGAATCTGGTTTTTTTTTTAAAAAAAGGCATTTTATAAGAAGATACACAATTTTGACATATAAGAAACCATTTTTTGTAATTATATAGTATAAATAATATAATATTGGTGGCATATATTAAGGTCTTGTCATATGTTGATATCTAAGTTCATAGACTGATAAATATTGTTGAAATCTAAGCTCATGAATATTCAAATGGTTGATATCTTGTATATAGATATGTGTATTTATCTTTTTCATTTTTAATCTTATACTTAATCTAACTGTTGATATCTAAGCTAATCTTATTTTATCAAGAGCCCATAACTTTATGGACATTATGAAAATATAAGCAGAGGTCAAGTTTTAAAAGACTATGCTTCTCAATCCAAGGATACAACTTCATAGGCCCTGTTCACTATCCAGGGAGTCAACTAAATACGCCCTGAGACAACTACATAGGCCCTGATCTATATCAAGGGAGACAACTAAAAAGGCTCTGTTCTCAATCCAACTAGACAACTAAATAGCCCTGTTTTCAATCTTTTATATACCTGAGGAGGATTTGTTTCATAAGCCATCTTAAATAGAAATGTTTTAAACGAATACATGTATATGAAAAAAAAAAGTGTTACCTTTATTCCATTAAGTATTTCCGTCATTAGTTTAATCCGGTCATCTTTCCTTTCCATGACGAGTTTTTCACATTTCTGTGCATTAGTCAGGATCACCATATTGAAGGGCACAAGCAGTATCATTACTGCAAGTCCGGCAAACATGGCATACCCGACTGTGTAATACAGGTACACCACTGAACCAATGATCTGTAAGGGGCTGGACCATACACCCCAAAGGTAGCCCGACAGGTCCTTAATATGTTCCGCGTCTACGGACATGAGGTTCACAATCTCACCAACAGTTGACTCTGTTCTTGCCTGATTGTTCATTCTTAACGACTAGAAAACAAATAACCACTAAACCATTGACTTCTTAAGGCAAGCAAAACAACTAAATTAATGTCACGGTTCAGAACTATTCACTATCAAAGGGGAGAAGATGCATAAGCTGCCAGATAGTTCTGTCAGTAGCACAGTGATAAGCATGAAGGATTCCCTGCTATCCATGGTTGGAGCGAATAGGTGACTGAAGTTACATATATATAAAATACCATTTTAGCAACGGCCAAGTAGTTTATACATAGGACTAGAATTTAGTTGTAATCAAAGGCGTGGCAGAGTGGTTATGGTCAGACTAGTAATCTAAAGATTGCTGACCACGTGGGTTCAAACCCTGTCAGGGGCAAACTGCTGTTTCCTTGAGCAATAAACTTTACATTCATTGCTTAGTTCTGGTTGCTTCTAGGAACGGATTCGAGAGTGTTCCAATCAACTTATAGCTTCCAACACAATCAAACTAAAATAAATTAAAAGGGTAACTGGCCGCATACTGGTTCAAACCCTATCAGGGATAAACTGTTACTTATTATTATATTAAACCAAGCAAGACACTTCACACTAAATATTGCTTGGTACTGACTCCCTACAAAAAAAAGACTCAACAGTGTATATCTTACTATGCCTATAAGCTTAAAGGAACTCCACTGAGATCCAAAAGCTCTAAAATGTAAAAATTGAATTTCAATGAAAGATCTAATGAGACACTTTAATAAAAGATAATTAAGAAATATTCTCAGATCATATTTGTGCTATTATAAGCCCGAATAAGGTGAAAAGCATTGCAACTCTTTTCAATTTTGGGTAATTTTTCGCAGTTAAAAGAATTATTCTGGAAAAATAAAGTGAATGAATGATCCAAAATTTTGCACACAAGCTATTGGTCTAGACCTACATCAAATGGTATATTAATCTTGAACAATTATTTCCAGTCTCGTCATGTCAAAAAAACCTCAGTAGAGTCCCTTTAAAGCTTCCTACAAAAACAAACTAAATTAATTCTGTATAAACTAAAGTACCTTTTTGAATACTGCAGATATAAGAGCGGATCGTAACCTGATACCTATAGTCATAGTTTGATGCATCAAGAAGTGAAACGTAAAGGACTGCACTGATATGACGAGAAAAAATGCTGCGCTATATACATAGCCCTTCCATGTCGGTTTACTGCTATCTACCGCAAAATCTATTAATAACCTGAAAAAAAACAGCAAATCTATTAATAACCTAAAAAAACCAGCAAAATCTATTAATAACCTGAAAAAAAACAGCAAAATCTATTAATAACCTGAAAATAAATACACAGTATGTTACACAAGCGCTTAAAGTTTCTGCTATTTTAACAGAAGAATTTATGATAATCATGTATAAATAACCCAAGAACAACTTGGCGTGTATATTATCTATATAAAGGTTTTGCTACTTTACTGACATAACAGTGCAAAAGTGCATTCTGAAAAGTCCTCTTAACCAGGGAAGTCAGTCAGCCCACAGTATAGAGCCTGGTCAGACAACATAAATCTGCAGATTGGCCTAACTCTTTACTCAGGTGGCAAAGGCTTATTACTTTCAATTCCAGTCCGTTCCGGTTTAAATGTCAGGTGACTAATTTAAAGTATGTTGGTCTTCACAACTTCTAGGCAACAGACAATTCAAAATTTGTGAAATATCTATCATATATAAGATAGACTGAGAAAGGCAGGATTAAATCCTTGACCATTTCATACCAACTTTAGACTTTTGGTGCAGAAATCACCCGAATGTCTCTTAATAGCTTCATAAGTACAGAGCAAGCACCATGGAGATAATAACATAATAAAATATACATACTGTAAAAGAAATGGGTTGACAAACACAAGAATATCATATATCAGCTTCCATATGTTACTGACTAACAAATCCCAGCCAAATGTTTTAACCAGCACAATTGGCAGTGACACTCTTGGTCTTTTGCCATCATCGCATGACCTATCACGTGACCTATCATGTGACTTGCTTGACTGAGGCCCAAGAAGGGGTGTAGATTCAGAAATTTCACAATCCTCCCGGTTTGTACTTCCACCCAGATGAACATGAGCATGTAAGTTTCTCCTTCTGAAAATTTAATATTTGTATAACAAAATGAAATTCTTATATGGTTCCATAATTTTCTTCAAAAACATTCACTGAGTTCTTAGGTGCTTAGTTATGAAAATGTATAGTTTATAAAAGTTAGGGTGGCATAGTGGTCAAGGTGTCTGCCTTCTAACTCAGGGATCATGGGTATGAGCCCTACTACATTGATAACCATTTTTCCTCACATACTTCCAGAAAGCAGATTTCAAAATCGTTCAAGCTTTATTAATCATCAAGTTATCACAAATATGTCTACACTTAAAAGAATTTTAGCATGTTTTCTGTTGGCAGATATTTTGTCAGCACATCTTATAGTGTAACAAAAATTCCATAATTATATATCACTATCATTATGAGGATTATTTTGTAAGATCTAACTGTAAAAACATATTTTAAAACAATTACATACTTTGTTAATTTTTGTTTTATTTTGATTTCTTGCTGTCTCCAGTGAGATTCAAACTCATTCACTACAGTTTTAGACTGTTCGCTAGGATTTAATGCAAACATGTCATCTTCTGTCAGAGGTTTCCTATAACCAGTCACAACCAACCTGAAAAAAAGAATCCAAAGTTCGAAACTGGACAGAGATAGGGGGTTAGGGTTTGTTAGAGAGGACTTTCGACACACAAACACAAAAAAAAACAATAAAAAAAATTTTTGAAGTTTTTAAGTGCCATTTTTGAATAGAAGAAAAACAAAATAAATGATACAACTAATGCACATGTATGTTACATAAAGCTGAATGAACTGTCAATAAAAAGTACTTTTTACTATTTTTTTCCTTTTTTTTTTTTTTCATTTTCTTTATTTTTAAGGGGGACTGTTATGTCAATGTATCATTGTTTAGGATATTTTGAAAACGCCCATAAGTCTAAAGATCTTACTAGACCCTACTTACTCTTGTATCCACTGATATGTTATTCGTGAGAAGAAAGATGCTCTTGTTTCTGGACATGGTCTCTGAAAATATTAATTAAAACATTAGAATATGAACAAAAGAGGATATACAAACGGTAACAATAAAACTATATCATTCATTCATAAAGTGAGTAGATGTTTCATTATAAAGAAAACAACCCCTGTTACACATATATAGTTATACAATCATTCATAAAGTGAGTAGATGTTTAACTATAAGGAAAACAACCCCTGTTACACATACCTATACAATCATTCATAAAGTGAAAAACAACCCCTGTTACACATACCTATACAATCATTCATAAAGTGAAAAACAACCCCTGTTACACATACTTATACAATCATTCATAATGTGAAAAACAACCCTGTTACACATCATAAAGTGAAAAACAATCCTTGTTACACATAGTTACACAATCATTCATAAAGTTTGTAGATGTTTTACTATAAGGAAAACAACCCCAGTTATACTGAGGTATACAAACCTTTCCTGGCTGTATGGGTAATGTTTCAGCTATACAGTTCAAGATTAACTGTATCAAACTTAGGAAGAAATACACATTGAATAGGACAAAATCCAGCAGAAGATCTTCATAACCCTGAAATTACATGACAAATTACTATAAGATATTTTTTCATTAATGTTGCTACATAAGAATTAATGTGAAGATCAGTTAACTTATAGAAACTACATGTAACTAATGTTACAGGGTGAGAAAAATATGCAACCTGACCTGGACTTGATGCTGTTCCATGGCTCTACCGACTGAGCTATCAAGCTGATTACACTTAAAGTACCAATTTCACAAAGCTAGGTGTATAATGTTTTAGATTTATTTAATGAAGATTCAGTGGACTTCATTGGCTACATGGTAAGGGACCATGACATTGAATGACAGGACATACACTATGGGTTCAAGTCCTACATATGATAGTTATGCTTTTCTTTGTTGTATCCTGACAAACTTCTAGAAGATTGAAGATTTTACAGAGGGGAATACTGTTGCATGGAATAATACAATACTGTCTTCCTACATTAGTTAAGATGAAAGGTCACCTTCAATATCCTAGTTATTTAATTCCTCAAACACTATAAAAAAAAACTCTTCTGCTAAGTATACAAATTAATTAGGCAATGAAATAAGAAATCAAACAAACCTTTTCAATAATTTTACGGTAAAAAGGTATAATATAGGTAAAATTTGCCAGTAGCCAATACATAAATAATACTCCAGATGTGATTAAACCTTTCCGTCTCTCTAGTTCCATATAACATACTACTAAAATCTGAAAAATAAAATAAGTAAATTTAGTTAAAGGCTTTATATGCCCCAGAAATGTTGTTATTTTTATTTCTCAAAAGCTTTTATTTTTTAGGTGTACTTTAACTCCGATGCTGGGGTGAGTAAAAAAGCTTTCCCTATTCTTCAAATAGTCGGGCTAAAAATGAAAGAGTAGATTTTCTTGAATTAAAATTGTTTTTTTGTCATACAATTTATTACACCTTAACATCAAAGAATTTAATACATTTAACATTAAGTTATGCAAATAAGCATTGAAAATTAAAGCATTTTTACTTACTAAAGTTAACGCCTCAATCAAAGGACCAATAAAGTATGCCTGGAAATATGATTCATTTTTCCTGTTTAACTCGGCTGACCCATATAATAACTCTACGACTATAATCACAAGCTGTAGCAGCGCTATACACTAAAATAAACAAACAAAATTACATATATATATGAGCAAGACATTATACATAGATAAATCACAAGAAAAATCAGCACGCCTCAGCTGAAACTCGAACCATAGGTCTTTGGATTACAGGTCTAGTATGCTAACCACATCACCACAGCAGCCATTGTGTTTTCTTCATATACACATATATGTATATATACATGTATATACAGAGAGAGATTACACAAAAAATGGGCACAAATAACTCATAACGTGTTGGAATCAAAAGTGATTAGCCTTTGTCAATAGTAAAGAGCTGAGACCCGCCTGAAAATCTGTGCAGTCTGACCAGGCTCTATACTGTTGGCTGTCTGACCAACTTCAAATTTCATCTTGTTCCCAAAACTTGATAATGGACAGCTCTAGAACTAGTAGATTTAAAGATTTCAGTAACAAAGTTCTAAAATTGAAGCCAAACAGCTTAGAGTTGGAAGGACTTCTTAATTGTGGTACTACAGTACAACCCGGGTAAAGCATTACCTTTTGGTAGACAAGGATTTATGTTGTTGAGGTGTTTTTCTAGCGAGATTAAATATACTGCAAATTTGAGTAATACTTTAGAAGGAAAAGAAACTGTTGTTGTAAAGAGGTTAGTCTCTGTAGAGGGTAGCTCCAATAAGGATTCACTGTATGTTCATTTATTAAACACTATTGACTGACCTTCAAACACTTAAAGACATGGTAAACAGTATATATATATAATTATGACAAATTTTAACAGAAAACTGCAGGAACCCTTATTCTTATCTGAGATAAAAAATCTGTAATAAATTCTGAATGAATTAAATGCTAGTATAATTATTCACCCACCAGTTTTGATAAATTCTTCCAAGAATTTGGTAAGGCACATGATTTTTGTGAGAACAAGTACGGTAAGTAGAATGGTAAACTTAGCCACAACCATCCACTGGGTATCCAAATTATTACACTGTTTTGAAAACATTCTGTGAACCCCGGATATGTCTTGTCATCACCCCACGTCAAACTGGTGTTCTGAAATAATAAACAAAGTATACATTTTGTATTTGTCATCATATTAGTGAGAAAAAAAAGTACTAGTAGATTTGGTTAATAACACTCTCTTTAATATCTTACAATATATATAATCAGTATACTGTATGTTATGCAAATAGGTTTGTTTATTTTATTTGTGTATGTCTATATGCTGTTCCATAAAAATGACTAAATAAAACTTCTTTTCTATACCTCAGGTAACTATTTATACCTATAACTGAAGTAATAACATATACCCTATAAGTAATGAAATTCTATTTACCCTATAACTGATGTAGTTTTAATACCCTACTATTAATGTAGTTGTACATACCCTACAACCAATGAAGTTGTAGTTACCCTATTATTAATGTAGTTGCATGTACCCTATACATTGTAACTAATGTAGTTGTACGAGGGATGATCAAAAATAAACCGGACTGTGACTGTCAATTGAAGAATTTTCAACCTATCACTTATTGTTATATGTAACACTTAATCGGAAAACAATACCTTTAAACTGATGCTATAGCTCATCTGATAACGCAAATAGCTTGTCCGTAACAGCGAATTCAAAAACCATGGTAACGCACACCCGGCGCAGTGCGTTAATTCGCCTTGACCACAGGCACTTTATGCTGCGTATATTTTACAATATGGCACATTTAGATTTCAAACTACGCCAAAACGTCATGAACAATATCTTTGACATTGTCAGTAAAAATGACTTCATTTAAAACATATTTATATTTGCAATCACAATTCAAACGTCGCTTGTTAAAAAAATATTCGTGTTAAATCTATGTCGTCGGAAAGTCTCGAAAATCGATCAATAAGAAAAAATGTTCAAAATTAAGACGAGAACCTGTTAAAAACGTAGAAAAAGATTATGGCTATCAAGGGAAAAGTTCCAGGAAGCCACAGCATATTTTTTATTAGCATGAAGAATTAAGAAAGGGTAATAGAGAAATAGAAAACAAGTAAGGGAGAGACAAAAAAAAAGAAATTTTCAAAGACGTTGGTGACGTTAATCGCCAAGACGTTGAAAATGACGGTCGATTGACTGCGAACATTGTCAACGATGTTCGACAGTAGCTACAGGACGGTGCAGTCAACTCTAAGGATTTTAAAATGATAATAGTTAATGCATTTATTACATATATTGTATTCTTGGTTTACAATTGTACCAATTATTTTCTTATTTTACGCAGTAGTGTTATCATTATGGAGAAATTGTGTAAACAATTTAACAGTCACTGTTCAAAATCGGCTATGCATTTTATTTATTTTTAAAAAATGACAACTTTGGTCATAGTTATATTATTCTTCTTTTATCGTATGTATGACACGTTATCATTCAGCAACATTATTTTACATAATATAGTTTATTGCATGTGCGAGTTTCCCAACAATCAAGTTACAGAAGGAAAGAACGGAAGTTTGCGTGATTACAGGAGATCTTTATTATAATCCATTTTATTACAATACAATATGATACCCACTTGTACAGAAATATATATAGGCAGTGGATCCGCCGTATCAACAACATGACTGTACCACGTATTGGCCTACTCCGTGAATGAGTAAAAAGCTGCTCCGTTAAGGACAATACGCTTGTGACGTCGTTAACGTCAATTTTAAAGTTATACCGTGCGCCGCATTGCTATACATGTACATGCCAATAACAGCATAACTTTTTTCTTTGTTAATATTTCTTGTTGGTATTTTTGTATCATTCAGGGGATAGATTCCGATTTATTTTCCGTGTATTTTTATGTAAATTCATTTAACAGGTAAAGAACCATTTACAAAGTCCGGTTAATTTTTGATCACCCCTCGTATATACCCTATAACTAATGTAGTTGTATAAACCCTATAACTAATGCAGTTGTATATATCCTATAACTGATGTAGTTGTACGAGGGTTGTTCAAAAAGTAATAGGACTAAGCATCTTGCACTATTATATTTAATTCAATTTATAATATCTTTATATGTACAACGATCTAAAAATGTTTTCTTCAATTTAAGCATAAAATTTTTGAATTATTGTGCTTAACGCGTGTTCCCTGTGTTATTAAATAACCATGGTAACACGCACCCGGCGCAGCACATAAAAAGTTATTGAAGCTTAGTTGAACTTTTATTTTATTCATAATTTATTTTCTTTTTTTTTCCAATTTATTCCACCAACACAATTAATTATATTTAAGTGACATTATGTCCAAATTTGACGTCATTCAGACATGAAATTGCTAAATCATCAAGTTTTGAACAGCAGTGGTCATAACGTTAAATGTAGAAATTTGACGTTCGTTAAAAAACTGAAAATGTGTGCGATCGTTAAACTTTGCCAACAAATTGGCGATACTCCTTCAGATACATATGAAAACATAAAATTAACATAGTACAATAAATCGGCTATCAGGATACTCGTTCTCAGCTTGCGCAAGCAATTCAAAAACTGCACATACGAGATCACAAACTGGAAAGGATGAGAATGATAGCGGGAAATTGACGGGACGTTAGTGACGTCAAATGAAAAAGCGCTACAAAATGATCGACGGTAAACAGTCCACGAACTCCCCGGCATGTTTGATTTCTGCACTGGGTATATCGATTCAGTTCTGCCCAAACGATTTGTTATAAACAAAATTCTATTTCATTTAATAGATATAATTATGTGTTATCAATCAATACATTAATGTAATAATGATTAACGGTAATTATTAATATTTTTCCCCGATTTTCTTTTAAAAATGATACGCTGTTCTTAGTAGGAAAATATACTTTTCAGTTGATAACTATTTTTATTTTTACTTACATAATCATATTGTTTTAAGAACGTATGATGATATGTGTAAAATAATTGTATTAATCGCTTTTTCATTAACATCATAAGTTCATGCCTGTTTAATCTGTATTGATTACTAAAAGATACAAGAATACGCGAAAAAGCGGAGAGTGGCCGGCTATCGGGCTTTTTTTTTCGAAGAGTGGAACGAGAATGTGGTCGTTTTCTTTCTCGCTTCATCTCCACACATGAGGTCTGGTCAAAGTTACATGATTTAGATACCTAGAACACTAGGGAGAATTCTTTCAGAAGGGATGACGCTTGATAAATTTTGTTTTTATTTGACGACGTCATAAACGTCATTTATTGTGTTGTTAGCGTGCGCCGGGTCGCGAACCCCTTGTCATTTGAAATTTTCACAGACTCGTTATTTTTAAACATATTTTATTGATTTTTTCACTGTATATAGAGGATATGTTCCGATATTATTATTTTGTAAAATTAAGCACGTAAATTAAAAAATGTGAACAGTAGAACTGCAGTCCTATTACTTTTTGAACAACCCTCGTATATACCCTATAACTGATGTAGTTGTATAGACCCTATTACTGATGTAGTTGTATGTACCCTATTACTGATGTAGTTGTATGTACCCTATAACTGATGTAGTTGTATATACCCTATAACTGATGTAGTTGTATAGACCCTATTACTGATGTAGTTGTATATACCCAATAACTGATGTAGTTGTATAGACCCTATTACTGATGTAGTTGTATATACCCTAAAACTAATGTAGTTGTATGTATCCTATAACTGATGTAGTTGTATGTACCCTATAACTGATGTAGTTGTATAGACCCTATTACTGATGTAGTTGTATAGACCCTATAACTGATGTAGTTGTATATACCCTATAACTGATGTAGTTGCATGTACCCTATTACTGATGTAGTTGTTATATACCCTTTAACTGATGTAGTTGTATAGACCCTATTACTGATGTAGTTGTATGCATCCTATAACTGATGTAGTTGTATATACCCTATAACTGATGTAGTTGCATGTACCCTATAACTGATGTAGTTGTATATACCCTATAACTGATGTAGTTGTATAGACCCTATTACTGATGTAGTTGTATGCATCCTATAACTGATGTAGTTGTATATACCCTATAACTGATGTAGTTGCATGTACCCTATAACTAATGTAGTTGTATATACCCTATAACTGATGTAGTTGTATAGACCCTATTACTGATGTAGTTGTATGCATCCTATAACTGATGTAGTTGTATATACCCTATAACTGATGTAGTTGCATGTACCCTATTACTGATGTAGTTGTATATACCCTATAACTGATGTAGTTGTATTTACCCTATTACTGATGTAGTTGTATATACCCTATAACTGATGTAGTTGTATAGACCCTATTACTGATGTAGTTGTATGCATCCTATAACTGATGTAGTTGTATAGACCCTATTACTTATGTAGTTGTATATAACCTATAACTGATGTAGTTGTATGTACCTTATAACTGATGTAGTTGTATGTACCTTATAACTGATGTAGTTGTATGTACCCTATAACTGATGAAGTTGTATATACCCTATAACTGATGTAGTTGTATGTACCCTATAACTGATGTAGTTGTATGTACCCTATAACTGATGTAGTTGTATGTACCCTATAACTAATGTAGTTGCATGTACCCTATAAGTTAAAGTAAATAATAATAATAACTGATGTAGTTGTATGCACACTATAACTAATGTAGTTGTATGTATCCTATAACTGATGTAGTTATATATGCCTTTTAATTAAATTAATTTATCCCCTTTAACTGTTGTAATTATATATCTTCTTTAACTGTTGTAATTATATATCCCCATATGAATCAGGTAATTTAAAATTAGGTTATAATTATTATTAAACTAAGGTAATTATATATACCCTTTAAATGAGGTAATTATATAACCCTATAACTGAGGAATTTATTGATTATCATATACATATATATCCTATAATTCAGATACATTGTAATTTTATATACCCTATAACTGAGATAATAACATTATAATCTAATTAACTTTAATTAAGATAATTTTATTATATATATTGTATTCATACATCCCTTATAACTTAATTAGGAAGTAACTGGACATATCCTTCATTTTTTTTGGATGCCAAAATAATAACACTGGCCCAGCAAAAGTAAATTTCCAAAAGCATTTCCCTGAATTTTTAAGCCAACTCAGTGGTTTTTTCAATATATTTTACAGCTGAATAAAGGCTGTTTCCCCCGAGCCCGAAATAAGTATATTTTCCCCTAAAAATGTTAATATTTTCCACTAAAATGCCTTGTGCTCTTCCTTACCAGAACCATGACTTAACAACATCTGACTTATATCAGCTAAAAGACAGAAAGCTGTCCCTATAGATATCCCCTGCTATGTACCCTGCATGTTAAATTGAATTGAAATTAACGTTTTTTATAAACTGTGTGGGTAAACTCCATTTCTAGTTGTTGCAATTTGATTTCAGGTTTTCCACCTTTTCTGATTTATCGCGCTATATTTTCCCCTTCAAAAGCCGCAGGTTGGTTTGAAAATTGGGAAAAAAAATCGCTCCAACTTATTAGTTTTCCATGATATTACTTTGAATAAGGGAAATATGCCTGATAAAGCAAGATTCCAACTAAAAAACAAATTTGGTTAGAATCTACTACAAATATTGCTGAATTATTTTGATTATACCATCCAATAAGTCTATAACAAAAAATGAATTTAGATACTACTGCAGTAATGAATATACTGCATTAGAGATAATCTATATTTGACATATACAGTACTGTAATTGATATATATTCAAATATAAAGAGTCATGCACAAGTATCATTATACTCATGTTATACATCAAAAGTTATTTAGGTCAATGTAATGGCATGTCAAAATGTAGAACAGAAAAACAAAATACATATAGTATACTATAGAAGGCCTATGCAAATAGTACAATACAAATATATCAAATTACAGTAATTGTCAGCTCTCAAAATTAAAGCATTCAATTAAATAAATGTTACCCAAAAACTTTCACCACCACAAAATTTCTCCATCCTTTCTCCACGAGGCAGCAACACTTAATTGCACCACTATATATAGCCCTAGCAGCGGAGTCTTGCACCATCAATTGTACATACATTTGATGTCAATCCCGTCTCTATAAGGGAAGTAACCCATGTTTGATAAATGTACGTATATTGTTCCGATAATCCCGTTGAGCTTTCACGGAAATTACCGGAAAATTACGATCAAAATAGCAATATATGTAAATAGCGAAAAAGAATTCAATCGCGAAATGAAATAGCCTATACTAGCTTTGGCAAATAGTTTGATTTTTGATAGTAATAAAAGGACCATATTCTAAATCATGATGATTAATTTGAGAAATTAAATTTTAATAAAGTCAGAATGAAATTCCACAATGATAAGCCTACAAATCACCCGTATGTCTTCACATATAAATGTCACTAATTTATCTATATGTGTATAATTTCCAGATAAGAAGGTTAAGATGTTTTCGCTTTCATGCGAAGCAAATAAAGAGTTTAAGAAGAGCTACTGCTTGAAGCTGCCAAATTTTCCTCGATTGTAACCTTGGCTTTATTTTCTGGACATGATTTGGTGATAGTCGTCCAATTGTGATATGACTAGCGGCGAATATTACTGTAGTATTACCGCACATGTCAGGTACGAATAGCTTGACCAACATTGCCATGTTCTAATTGTCATGTTTAGCTTTGTCTTGAATAACAATCGGAAGAAGAAACCTTGCGACGGCTTGCAATCATAAAAAAATCTCAAAATAATTTCAAATATCAGCGTCGGGCTAGTAAGATTTTTTTGCCGCGTGGCTACAAACCCACTCAGGGTAAATCCGTGGTTTCCTAAAACATAAACGTTAAACCCATTTCTTAATAAAAATAAAAGGTGAAAGCAGGATTAAATATTGCTGGTTAATGTGTCATTTAACTGGCCCCAAACAGGACACGGTAACATCATTGAAAGCAGTTATTTAAAGGTGCTTTCTACCGACGTGGGAGTATAGACGTACGTGTAATGAGATTTGGCTCAATACGGAGAAAACGGCGGTCAAAATTCAATTCGATCTTCATATGTGCTGAAGAGACCCATTTGGGATCTTCACTTCCATATAATTAAACATCAGATAGCCAGTATCATACAACAATACAAATATGTAAATATGTTGGCTTTAGATAGATGTCCGTGTTTGATTGATTGATTAATCAATTCTTAAATTGATTTTTTAATTGATGTGTGGTCACTTCAACAATAGACTTACTGTCTAATTCTACCACTAAAAATGCTAAACAAATAAAAATTACATTGCACATAAAAATGTGGAGCTTAGCGAAACTATAATAAATAACTGTTTTCGGGGGATATGCTAACATGCACAGACCTAATTAAGTATATTAATTTCAACAATTTACAAAATTAATGAAAGAGACTTAATCTTGTTAGGTTATCGTATCATGTATTTTTCCCATAAAATTATATTAATTCATCTAAATCTTCATTACGTCAATACTCCACAAATCTTTTTCATTTTTTTAGATTTTTTCATTCATATGCACCAAAGTTGTAATCAATACCAAATTTCCTATTGAAAATATATACATGTTTATATTTTTTCTTCAGTTACAGAATGATACACAAAATAATTGAATATCAAATGTTTAACGTAAGTGATCCGTAATTATGTTGATGATTTCAAAAACCATGCATCTATTCAGCACAAATGAAGCTCGAGTGGAATATTCAACGTAAATAAATGCTGTAGTTGTTCTTTTTAATGTTTTTTTAAAAATGTTTTTGGCTTTACGGTGCATCATGTAAAGCATATGCCTCCGAACTTTGGCTAACCTAGGGTGATACAAGGGGTCAAAACCGCTTCACCTGCTAGAACTAAGAAACAAAAAGACTACAGTAATTCTAACACATTTACAGTCATCTCTTACGATCACGATGGGATAAAGGGTGACTGCAATTCTGATGCCTCAACCATTAAAGGCAACACCTCAGCCACAAGGGGTTTCAATAAATGTTAAATGATTTGTTTGAATTTTTACAATCGTTCTGCGTTAAATTTCGTGGAAACTTTCTGTTTCGAGTTCGTTTTGTGACATTTTCTCCATACACATTGCATGCTTTGGGCACATTAGTACATGTACCCACTCCGGAAAGAATATCCACACAAAGACTGCATGAACAAGACCTGTCTACGGCCAGCGCGCTCCTCTTTTCTCAGAGATAGATATTTCAAGAAAAGGGGGCATAATTCTACAAATATGCTTACATGTAGTGTTGTGTAAAGTTTCGATGGAATGTACCAGTAGTGTTTTAGGATTCTTAGACAGACAGATGAGGGAGAAGTGTCATCTGTATATCACTGCTACTCTGTAGAAGGGACACAAAAATGGAAGCAAAATGTAGTTTCATCACAAAATGTCCGTAACCTGTTATATGTACATTTACTTGAACAAATTATTTCATTCAGTTTATTTTTCATGGCTATAACAAAAAATTTAACCAGTATAGAAAATCACAGATATTGAGAACAATAGCGACAATTTATTGTCATCTTTATAATTCATTTTTCTGCATTGTGATTAATATTGACTATAAAACGGTCATAAGACTATAAAACGGTCGTAAGTTGACCTTTTTAACTTTATAACAATGCTGCTGAACAATATGCAATTTTCCACAAGCTTATTGTCTGGAGGTTATACAAGGTCATTGTTTTTTGGGTTTTTTTCTTGTTTTTTTTATGTATACCAATGCCATTTTCAAGGGTATAAACCTGTATCTTATGAAATATTTCATGGTAAAATTGATATTCCCATTATCTTATGGTAGATTATCAAAAGAGTTGTTACATAGAATGTCTGAGTTATTTAACACACATTAACACTGTATGTAAATAATTTACATTGTTGTTTCCATAATCTTATGGTAGATTCTAATAAGAGTTAAAACTCAGAATGTTTGAGTCATTTAACATACATGAACACTTTATATAAAAAAATAAAGCAGTTTTTTTTTCACTGCTTAGCAATGATTTTGTACATGCACCATTGACTCATAAGGTAAAATCCAACATATTACTTTTAGACAGGTTTTTTGGAATTACGTATTCTTTGTCAAAAATAAAACAAAACATTTGTAAACTACAGACAGCAGATAAAATTATAGCTTTATACACTTTCTGGCTGGCAAACTTTATTTTCAGATAGTTTTTAACTTAATCAAAACATAAATAAGTTTACTTGCAATAACACAACATCATTTATTTTTTATACTTTAATATATTAGTTTTTTCTTTTAGACACAAAAAGGCTTATAATAATCATATAGTGTATTGTCTATGTTTTTGATATTCTAATATTAAGCCTGTCAAAACCAAGCAAGTACCCAACTTTACTGCTTTGAGCTATCTTAAGGCAATAACACATCATAATTTTTTTTTTTATTTTAACATATTAGTCTTTTTTTCTTTTCCTTTAGGACATAAAAAGACTTAAAATGACTATATAGTGTATCGTCAATGTTTTTTTGGTAGAGTTCTCATATTAATTATGTTAAAACCAAACAGGTATGTAAAGCTACTCTTCTGCTTTGAGCTATCTTAAATTACTTGACTTCATACTGCCTAGTTGCAGTAGTTGGTGTAGATCTTTGATAAACTGACCAGATTAACTGGAAGGTAATTCCAAATTGCTGTTCCTATAGTTCAACATGACAGAACTGATGTTATAACTGTTTTTATAAACCTCGCCTGTATCACATATTCACATCAAGCTGCCATCATGATGATTGTTTATCCTATTTTTATTTTCATCAGCTGAATTTCTTTACCTGAAACATAATATACAACAATAATATCATGTCTTACAATGCAAACAAACCATAATACAGATATTGTAACTTTAAGATATTTCTGTTATCATATTCTTACAACATGCCAAGTGTAAAGAAATTCTATTGAACAGTTTTAATTCTGCCTATTTGTTTATATAAAAACTCCCAAAAACAACCTTAACATAACTTACTGGTGAAAAAATATGTGCATAGTATTTTATGATTTATATAAGCTGTATAAAATTTAATACAAAGTTGCTCTAAACTCTAAATTACAAAAAAGGGGTCAAAATAAGCAAAAATACCCCCTACTGTGTTAGTCACACAGTAAAAATATGGTGAAAAAAATACTGCAAAATCAGTCATTAATCACACAAAACATGTAAATTTATGGTTAAATCTTGAATCTTTTTAGCTCTCTTAAAACCTTAGAACATTTTACTCAAGTCTTATTTTCTTGAGATAGTTGGCTATTTTGGAGGCATGCACATTTAATATATAAATAACTTACTTTACATAAAAAAGCATCACAGATTTCTGTAACAAATTGATCACAAGTTTGTAGAGAAGCATTACGCTGGCTTCTTGACATTGCCTGAAATGTGAATTACATTAACTGTTAGTTACTGTTAAAATAAGGTAAGATTTATTTGTTATGAAACAATAGTAATTTTTATTGCAATATTGTTTTGAAAATCATAATCATAATTAGTTATGATCGAAAAGTATGAAGTTTTATATTAATCAATATCATGTTTTTATACTTTCTGGTGTATTGGTGTCACGTATTGTTAATCAAAAACGTGTCTGGCTGATTTTTGTATAATGAACTTTTTTTTCTTATTTCATCACATTCAGAAGAAATCACAAGGAGCAGTAGAACACTTTGATCAACATCTAAATAAGTTATTAAATATATAGAGGATATTGAATGAGTGAAAGGTCAATACTGAATTTATTGAGTGAGTTGAAATAAATTATATTATGCAAGCCTATTATCTTATTTAACAAGTTCAATAAAATCAGTAATGAACCTAAACAAATTTAATATTCTTTTTATCACATACCCAAAAAAAGAGTGTTTAAAATGAAAAATAATCATTTTTCAATAATGCGCCTATAGTGTAAATGCTAAAATTTGGCGCGTCCTTACACTATGTTTGTATGAAGCAAATGACATATCAAAATATATACACACCCATGTGTCACGGTTAATAACTGTTCACTATTTAGGGTAGAAGATGTGTAAGCAGCCGGATAGCTCAGTCGGCAGAGCCGCGGTATGATATTCCGAGGGTCCTAGGTTCGAGTCCCGGCCAGGCTGCACATTTTTCTCACCCTGTGACACATGCAATACTATTTTTACAGAGTTGCACAAGTAGCATGGGTATGTGACTAAAGAAATTTTGACAAGACTTGCCAAATTCATAATAGCCACAATAGGGCTATATATCGTTCAATACTTATGAATACAGTGTTATCTCTACAGAACGGCCCTCTGTGGAGCAATAACTTCTTTACAACAACCACAGCACCTATTGCTCCCGAATTAAAACTAAGTAAACAATTTAACTCCTCTAGAGCAATACCTCTTTGCAAAAATCAAAATCTTTGTTTCCTACGGGATATTGCCCTTTCGAAGTTGTACTGTATTTCAATCATTTAAAATACAACTACATTACCCTTTCTAGGGCCAAGTATAATCCGTCAACACCTAGATTATAACCACTCTCTAATATTCTTCTAGCATCAGTTCTAGAGCTTCCAAGAGCTGTATGTAATTGTTCTACTACTATATCACATAATGATTTATTTGCTTTCCCAGTTTTCTGAATGTCCAAGCACTGGAATAGTTGTTCGGCAAGTTTTACATAATCTGAAACAGAATATTATAAAATAGTATTTGACATGACTTTATTAAAGCGGCCTTTAGCTTTTATTATTTGTTTGATAAACAATTCTGTGTTGTTTCAATTTAAGTATTTCAGTAAGTTTATGGTGTCTGTCAACCTAAGGACCATCAGTTTGATTGAGCTGGACTCATGACAATTAGTTCTTCATTTAACACTAGTACTGTATATTCATTGGAGAACATAAAACTTGTATATAATAAAAACAAAACAGTGATACCTTGAAGGACACAACAAGCAAACACTCCAGATTTAAACACATCATAATGAACAGCTTCATGGTTTGAACATTCTATCTTTTGTAATAATTTAGTCACAACAGCATCTGGTAAATTCCTGAAAATACACAGTATTTACATATATCAGGTACGTATGTTAATATACGTACCTGCATATATGTAGCCATTGATCAAGTGGGTGTAATCAGTGAATAATGATTTACATATGACATCAGTTCCTTTCAATACAATATACAGTTTAAACAGTGCATATATTTCTTGAAACAAATATTATAAAAATTTATTATATTACAAGTAAATATTGTCATGATATAAACACTATATATGTACTGTTAAATTATGGTTTCAATTTACTAATGGTTCATTACACAATGGTTATCTCGGTCGTCTGTCAACCAAACTGACTTTCCTAGATAACTGACCAGTAATTACCAATTTCAAAGCAAGCGACTGACTATTACTCAACATGATTTTGAATCAGCTGTAAGAGACAAATAACAAATACACCAAATGTCCCAGATCAGTTGTCATAGAGAAATTTTACTTAAGGGAGATAAATTTAAGACAGTATTTTGAGATGAAAATTGATAGGACTAGGGAGGACAGATGACAATTACCTGCATAGTGCCAGCAGTAAATCTGCATATATTATACCATTCACACCATATACTTTCTTACTCACTGTAAAACAAATATATGTATTCTATTAAATTATATAACATAAAGTATTACATATACATGTATAATTATACACTGTATTAATGCTTATATTACATGCATAAATATAGAATAACAAAAGAAAAATTTGTAATTTGTACAAGTACTTGTGTAACCAAAGTTCTCATGGATTTTACATCAATTTGCTTGGCATAACAAAACCCATGTAACATTTAAGTTCTAGATACATGTATTATCCAATAAAAACCTGATACATTTACTGCCAGATAATGGTTATAATTCAGTATCATAAAAACTGTTCAAATCATTTAAATTTAATTCACAATGGCAAGCACCAAGAACCTTAATTTACCCACAACTCACCTGTCAATCAAAACAACATGATGTTATCCATATTAAAGGTAATTCAATGATTCAAAGCAATAGAAATATGCAATACTTTGAAACAATCATCATGGTTTCTGCTTGCAATTGCAAAACTGACTTAGTTTTAATAAGTTTATGCTGAGAATATGTAGTGAGTTTTTCTCCTGAAATTTTACCTTTATGACTTGCAAGTATATCATAGGCACTTCTGACATTTGATTCAAACAAGGGTCTACTGTAGTGAGTCATCTTTAATATCTGATTGGCACGTTGAACTAGACTTGTGTTGTCTTCAATTGAGCCAAAACTACAACAGAAATAATGATAACTATAATTTAATATCTGACTGGCATGATGAACTAGACTTATGCCAAAGCTAAATAGAAAGATATTAAACAAAATAATGTTATAAACTATAATGAGTGGTTAGGTTAAGATTATACCTCAAAAGGTATAGGAAATACAATTTTTTATAGCTAGGGTGGTACAAAAACTTAACTTTAATTCTAAATAAAAAAGGGGCATAATTTTGTCAAAATGTATGATCAATTGAGTTATGTCCTCTTGTCATGAAGTGTGGATGATGGTCACTAAAGAGTATTTAAAATTTCAAAGCAATACCTCAAAGGGAATAAATTGGGTGTGATTTATTAAGTCAGAGACCATTAAATAAAAGTTCAAAAATTCATACTTGAACTGTTGAAATCATAAATGTAAAATAGATCTACTAAATATCTGCTTTGCCTTTTGGTACATGTACAATTTTATGCAAGAATACAGTTTGAAATATTATCATGCAGTAAACAATCCTTAGTGGCTGTTTATTACATTTAACTTACTAGTCAGCAAGAAAAGCCATCGGATCCTCTGGTCTATTTGCAATGATTTTCCCCAACACATCTCTCATCAAAATTCCTACAGTAGTCCTCTCTGGAAAAAAAAGAAATTAGATTGATCTACACTGTGCTTTTAATAGCTCAGTTAGGTATAGTAGTTAGGTCTATATACTAAAAAGAGAAAAAAGGACTTGATACACAATCCGTTCCTGATGAATCTCTTAGCTGATTTTAAGGGGGCGAATGTTTTGTGGGCGAATCAGTGTTTAGGGAAACAACCGATTTATTCAACAGTATCGATACAGCATTTATAAATATTTTTGCCACATATTAAAAAAACATTGAAATTAATTTCTTACCGAGAAACTGCCTGTCAGACTCTTTCGGAATTTCTTCTGAAGAATTTATCTTTTTCCTGTCTGTCATTTTATTTTTGTCGGTATGGTAAATAATACGGAAAATACCGAGAATACCCGATGTTAAACGTAAAGAGCGAAAAAGACTTTTAAACGAAAATGGTGTTAAATGTTAAGATTGCATGTCGCATGTCTACTTCATTAATCCGAAGATTATCAGGAAACTTTTTAAAGATGTGCACATGTAACAACTATGAAATTACGACAGTAGTCCAGTATTAGTAGAAAAAAAAACAAAAACAAAAAAAAAACAAAAAAAAAAACGTTTTAAGCAAGCGCTTCTCTGTAACATTTCACATCAAAAAAGTTGGCATAAGCATGAAATATATAGTATATTTTGTATTAGTTAGGACCGGGCCTTATATTTGGTATATTTGAATCACAGATAAAAAAGCAAAACTTTTAGATAAGGACCTCGTCCAATTTTATTTCAAATAAAGCTCAAATGTGATTATTGTATATAGAAAGTGACAGAGACGCATGTATACATGTATACTGCAGCCCGTATTTCTTTTCGGAAAAAATTTAATCTAAATTTAGCCGAGTAACCTGACACGTGCACAGTGTCTTTCTTTGTACTTGTTTCTATAAAACGCTTCTTACATTAGTTACAATCCATATTTTTCATTATTTTTCAACCCATTTTTAATTTATTGGTTTAGTGCTTCTTTCTCCTGCATTTCAATTTATAAACTGTTTTTAATTTATTCAACAAATGTCTCGGCCCGGTCCTTAAAGGTTCAATACTGAATTTATTGAACGAGTTGAATAAAATTATTTATCACACACCCGTAACGGTTTTGCGGCTGGGTAAAAAGGCTATATTGCACGGCCGTGCATACATTTTGATTTGCATTATACAAACATAGTGTAAATATTTGCTAAAATAAGTGTTAGCGCCTCAATGAAAAATTATTCTTTTGCACTTTAAACAGTCTGTATTTTTATTATGCAATGCATGTAAATAGAATCTTGCACGCCTGTGTATCGCTAATGACGTCATGTCAAAATATATGCACGGCCGTGCCATACCATTTATTACAGAGTCGCAAAAGTTGCACGTGTATGCGATAAGGAGCAGGTCAGTCCTATAGCTAGGATAATTGAACACTGGCAGAGGAAGTCTTGGTGTTTCTGATGTTTAGAACCACTGATCTTCAACAAGCCAGATAAAAGGCTCTGTCGGTTATCAAATTTACATTGAAAATGATATAAGTGACATTATAAATCTATATTTTCTGCAATAGGTTTGAAAATTTAATTCTAAAGAAATGTATTTTGTTGTTTTCATTGGACCAAATAACGTGTGGCTCATGGCACAAACAAATGCGTGAAATTAATCAGTCAAAATCCCTTCGTCAACAAACGATTTGTGAGTCTCATTTTAGTAAGTAAAATTGACGACAATGCCCTTTAGGATTAGCATAGTGTGAAATAACTTGCAAATTGATAAAAATAATATTTTTTGTTTTTCATTTTAGCACGCTTGTGAAAAAAATATTTCAGTTAATTTGAACAACTCTCGGGTGGGTCAGCTTCCTGGAACTTACCATTACTGGTGGCATATGTTGGGATATAGGCTCGTGGCCCACGACCCCTGGCTGAAGAAACAGACACCACTGCAAAAACTACTAGGCACGGCTTCCCTTTGGCAAGCGTTTGATGGTATCGTCAAAGATAAAATTCTGTTTCCGTTCCCCAGCTTTCAATGTTGTTTATTAATTAGCATCATTAATACTTAAATCGATGCTTTATGATAAGAAGAAAGTGCATCAGGTAAGACTGAACACATTTGCAGAATTAATTTTAATTTTTATTTTCTAAAGAGAACAGAAAAACATATTTTTGCCTCATCTGATACTTTTGTCGTTTAAGTTTAAAAAAAGTAAAAGTAAATCCAGAGTTCAAGCCAATGTTTTACTGGCTGGAAAATATCTGAATAACAAAGTGAAGAAAAATGTTATGAGTGTAAAATTTAATATTTCTGTAATGAACAAATATGTGCTTTCTAATCTAAATATTTGATTAACGCGCATTTTCATAAATTTTACAGTCCATCATGTCCTGTACAGTATCCGTAATGATTTACAGGCGTCAACTTCCGGATGTCCACGCATGCCGATTTTAAGGCATTTTCCACTTCCGCTTGTTTATTTGGCGGCAATGGTTTCGTACTTCGTTGAATGACAGCTGCATATGCATTTGCAGGATCACATTGTCCGTTTGACTGTATTTTCCAACATGAATAGATTATTGCGTAGCTGTTAATAAAAAAAAAAAGAAAAATATGAAAAATAAGCATGATATTTTTTCAGAAATAAAAGATGCTGATGGAATTATTATTTTCAAACATAACTTATACATTGGATATCCATCTGCTCCGATTACATCCAAAACAAATGGTTGAGAGACGACTGTCTTATATTAGGTTAAGCTTTAATAGCAGTTAACCATATCGGTGAATTTAGATCAAAGCAGTTTTTTTATTCTGAAAATAAAGCAACCGTTTGAAAACAGTGGCTATCTGTACTCCAATTAAACATGGTTTTCACGCATTTTATCTAGCGTGTAATTCTAACCTCAATTCAAAATAATAAAAAAATACAAAAAAGATTCAAATAATGACAATAGAAATTCAATATTCTTATTACCCATATACCTCTTTAAATACAAAAAATGTACAACATGTCGTTAACAATGAATTTTTTTCCAATTTCTAAATTCAGGGATTATCGACTGCATATCGTTTATATTAAATTATTTATCTAATAATATAATAATCTGCCTTACTTGGTATAATCAGTTCGTAATATCCATCCGGGTTTCATGCCTATTTTTCTACCTATAGTTGTATCAAAGAACATGGTCATTCTCTCCGGGTAATCTTTGTCCGGAATTACTGCCTTACCTCTACCCTTCGGACACCAGCCACCGTAGAATTTTGACCCGACTATAACAAATATGATAATTCACTTAACAACTTTTTCGTATGTAAACAATAGCTGGCCTGGATTATTAAAAACATAATAATATAAGTTGATAAGATTCAGTATGTTAACGAGAAATATGTCAGTTATAAAATTTTAAGTATAGTATTTACTAAAGAGCCAACCTTGTCGCGGACTAATTAAATAATATGTATTACCTACATGTATACATGTATGTATTTTTATGGGTATTTTAAAGATATACTATGCTCATCCTTGAGTAAAATATATAAAGCACAGAACTGAATTGAAATCTATGAAATTCTTACAGAATATGTCTAATTCGAATAAAAGAATAAATAAACTATATATGGGAAGCTGCGTTTCCTATTACGGGACAAGTTATGTTGGTCCTTTCTTACAATTCTTTGATGACACTATAAGTTCATAATGCAACCACCATACAAAATACTAACTTTTTGTTTGGAAACTGTTATCAAGGTACAAAAAATAAATATGATATCATTTCTGAGGCATAATGGGCCTTTAAATAATATTTTTGAATCAATAGAGGGAAAGTAGAGCTTACCTGCATTCATATCAAAACCACCCTCGGTGTTGATTTTAAAAACTAACACGTGTGTCGTAAATTTCTGTGAAGTACGACAGTAGAGAATCCCCTATACCAGTTTTGAAAGTACCGTACCATTTCCCTGAAAGTTTGAATTTAAAGTGAAAACATAGCAAAAACCAACAAATGAAGAAAACAACAACAACAACCACAACAACAAACACATCAACCATTTTTATTTTTAAAATCAAAACAATATAGCTTGATTGCAAAGTATAAGGTAATAAAACTGTAATTTAATGGGTGTTTGTGAAATAGTCATTACTGGAGTCCATCGGCCTCGGCAACAGTTCCAAATATCATTCCTGATACCTCGGGGCAAAAGTTTTGACTGTTCCACAAACACCCATGAAATAACTATATATTGAGCCATTTAAACAATCGATTTACCTTTATCTAGACGGATATCTTAGTGTTATTACAATTAGTTTTACATGGGTATGAAAGGCTAAGAAAGATAACTTAAAAAAGCTTTTGATACCATTGTAATTAGTGTTATCTCCCTTGTATTTTTCACAAGTCAATATGAGGTAAATACGGGAAAAAAAGAAGTAAGTGACAATACTTTGCCAGCCGGAGAGTAGCATAAACTAAACTACTTTTGCAATAAAAATAATAATATTAACAACAACGTTATTTACAAGTCCAGTTTCTGAAGATTTTTAAATGTTTACAAGTCCAGTTTCTAAAGATTTTCAAATATTTACAAGACCAGTTTCTAAAGATTTTCAAATATTTACAAGATCAGTTTCTAAAGACTTTCAAATATTTACAAGACCAGTTTCTAAAGATTTTCAAATATTTACAAGTTCAGATTCTAAAGATTTTCAAATATTTACAAGGCAAGTTTCTAAAGATTTTCAAATATTTACAAGACCAGTTTCTAAAGATTTTCAAATATTTACTTCAGATTCTAAAGATTTTCAAATATTTACAAGTCCAGTTTCTAAAGATTTTCAAATATTTATTTGTATTTCAAATAAGGATTTAGACTTTGTCGATTTAGTCACACATTTTAACTCTAATTTTTGCGGTTAATAATTATCGTACCTTCAAATCTTTTCAAGTCAAGATTTTCCTGCAGGGGTAGCTCTAACAGACGACAAGAATGTTTCTGTGACGACTTGCTTCCTTCCTCCACGTGCCCCTTTCTGTTCACGCTACGAGCAGACGACAATTGCAAGACACAAAACACAAGGCCAATTACCCACAAACACTTCATGCTAATGAGTTATGTAACACATGAGAAAATAGTCCAATATCTTATAAATCATTCGCATTAAATAACTGTAACTTTATAATTATCCGTTTCTATTACGTAGATTTTAAATGATAAACGATTTATTTTCTAATATTTCAGACATATATACATGAATTTTGTGAGTTAATATAAGATAATATTCACTTTATAGACAACACGGTGTCTGCATAAACAAATATAATCATATATTATCATATGACGATCATGATAACTATATAGATCATGATGAAACTATGTTATACTAAACTATTCTACACTTAACTGTAGGTAATGTCAAACTAGTATTTAGTCATAACATCATTGAACAAAGTCCAAGTGTTGAACGTAGTATTATTAATATATGATATATAAACATATTATATTGCCAAAATATGCTCGATTGATGATTAATATGTCAACATCATTTGTAACTTTGGGAAAATGGTTGTCACCAAAAAAACAAAAAATACGAAAAATAAGGAAGGTGGTTTCTATCCACAAGATTGTATCTGTCTTTACTAAAGAGTTAGAAAGTTTTAGAAAAAATATAATATAATATAATATAATAAAATATGATATGATATGATATGATATGACATGACATGACATGACATGACATGACATGACATGATATGACATAACATAACATAACATAATATAATCAGTAAGCAGTGTAACCGACACATAAAACGAAAAAAAATACTATTATGTCACTAAATCATTTCTCTAAAATAACACAAGAAAAGCATTGATGCAAAGCATCAAAGGGCGACGCCAAAAGAATTTGATCCAGGTTTGCACCTAAATACTTAACAAAAGATGTGTACTTTATAGCAGTACCATTTCATGTGACCTGGAGGATAGGCCCAGTTTAAGTTGAAACTTAAACCAAAAAGAAAAGACTCTGTCTTGCCAAGATGCAAAGACAATTTATAGTCAATTAACTAATCTTACTATTTATTTTACCAAATACAAGGATACCTGAGTCATCATCATATAATCACAGGCACGAGTATCGGACCTGGGAAGAAAAAGTATGACCAGATTGATAAAAAAACTGTGTTCATCTTAAAAGTGTCAAAAACCAAAAAAAAAAATGTAAATAATGACCCCCTTTAAAAATATACTATTAACTTAAAGTATATTTTTAAAGGGGGTCATTATTTACATTTTTTTGGTTTGTGACAATTTTAAGATGAACACAAGTTTTTTTATCAATCTGGTCATATTTTTTCTTCCCAGGTCTGATACTTGTGCCTGTGCATATAATAAAAGCTTATTGCTTAGGTTGCAGACATGTCATTGACATATATTAGACATAAAAGAGGACCTAAAATGAACATCAGGGGGACACCATAGGTACTCAGAGCAGTAGTAGAAGGAGTACCAGCCACATCAACCAGCTGCTATCAGAGATAAGACTTGAAGCATGTAAGAATGTCATTACATATGGCAGATACTTCAAGTTCCATGAAGAAGAAGAAAAAAATAACTTCTTCATGTGCAGTATAGTGTGATCAACTGTATCAAATGCTTTTTGTAGATCTAAAAGTATCATGCAATACTGCCTTTGTCCATTTCAAATAAAATACAATCTATTAAATGAGAAAAACCACTTCTAAACCCTGACTTAAACTGCCTGACCATGACTCGAACCCATGACTTTCAGAAGACCAACTGAGCTATCCGGCCGGCTACACATTTTCTCTTTAATAATGAAATAGTTCTAAACCACAACATATTTCCCCACTCTATTGGTTTATGTCCTTGAATTTCTGATGTTTACAGAGCATAGTGAATTAAACTCATGGTTATATGCAGTCACTGGATGAGAAATCTTTCAGCTTGACCAGAACTCAAACCTGTGACCCACAGAATAATGTACCGCGGCTGTAAGCGATTGAACAATCTGGCCGCTTACACATTTTCTGGCCTAAATAGTGAACAGTTCTAAACCGTGACAGATATTTAGATTTTTAAATTAACAGATAATTAATTCTTAATTAATAAATAAGAAATAAAAACCTTACATACTCATAGTCTAAATTAAAATAACAATTTATATATTATGTATAATTATATTTACTAAAAAGGGCTTAGACAGTAAACTATTGGTTGTGCCATTATTTATAACAGGTCAATTTGAAAGTGAACATAACTGTGCTAATACATGTACAATATCTATTTTTTGTACGGATAAAAAACTAACCCTTTTTCTATGATAAGAAAATTTATGAAGGCTGATTTGTATTTTGCATCAAGGGCACTGGGCGAAAACATGAAAATGCAACAAACACACCACTTACAGGGGCGTAGCCAGCATTTTTCAAGTTGTAGGCCCTTGAAAGGGGTTCCAAGGGGGTCTGGAAACAGGTTGAGATTAAAAGGAGCAAAATGTATGTTCCAAAGAAGATCTATTTCCAAGGACAATTATCAAAACAATACTTCTAAAATATGAATTTGATAGTATTCAAACTTTACCGAGCATGGTAATTAAATCATGCATAAGCCATTAATGGTAGAATGCTACGTCAGCGCGCACCTGTAAAATGCTCTCAATCGGGCTTTTTTGTGTAAATATCCCGTCGAGTCGAAGATAAAATATGTTTTTATTCCAGTAAATCGTTAGAAAATAATAAGAATGTAGCGTTTTTATTTAAAGTAATTGATATAAGTGCCTAGTTACTGCCTAGTTTAGACCTGAAAACGGATAAAGTTTTTTTTTCTAAATGCTCCCACTCGGACTCCTAAACAAATTTTGTTTTCGAGTCGACGAGATAACAATTCGATTGGTAGTATTTTGTAGGTGCGGGATGACGTAGTATCCTACCATTGGTCATCGGTGCATCTTAGATAAGGTCCATTTTTCTGCATTTAACAGAAGCAAACTTGTTGATTACAACATCAACGTCAACATCAATTTCTCTGTGGATATGAAGAATGCCGAGATCGGACAATCTGTCACCCGTCATTCGTGCTTCTCATGTAAGATTTGATACGGCGCATAGAACTGAATGAGCGTTCACAGGACGCAGACGTAGCCGGCATTGTTAGCAATACTGACAACGCTTTGTGAATACCAGGATATGCGGCCTTAGGAGTGCTGTCAAGTAGAGACAGAAGAGTTGATGGCCTTGGTCTGCCGTCATCTTGACTCCACCGCGCCCTCCAGCGTCGAATTTCACCCTGAAACACTTCTTTCGATATATTCATATCCTGGCTGTAGCTTGTGAATATAGAATCTACATGTTCATCATTCAGGTTCCTGATCTTTGAGGGCATGAGCATTTGTGCACAAAAACGATCATGATTGCTCATCACCCGGGTACTAATTTCCTCAGCAAGATGGTCAACGAAAACGTTGAATAAAGATACTCGCCAGTATTCCTTTGGATCCCCAATCTGATAATTGGCTCTATGGCGCTGTCTGGCGGCTTGACGCGGTACACTTGCATCAATCTGTACAAACACAAACAATAATTGTGAAAATAATTTGATTGTACTATTTTCGATGTATGTGGTAACTGCGTTCGTATACATGTACCATATAAAATATCCCCTTAAAGTTAAAATAAATTGTGGTTTTTATCATAGTGATGTTCGTAATACACGTGCTGCTTCTGTCAAAGGTCAACTAGTTAACTTATACTATTATAAGGTTATAAGGCTTAGTAAGCACTATATTTATTACTAATTGGCCATAAAACAAATGCACTGTTATATGGAGGGATTTGATCGGTCTTAAAAATTTGAAGATCTCATTTTTATAGGCATTTATTATAATAGTGGTTGAATCGTTTTACCATTTTTATAAACCATTAAACAATAAATAAGGATTTTCTACTATTTTACCTGAAATTCAGCAGCTATGTCCACGGCTGTCTGGTAAATTGCATCAAACACCGCATCGTCCTGTCGTTCTGCACGTAGAATGTCTACCACAACACCGGCTTCACGTACAGCCTCTAACAAATCCATGCTCACCTGTAAGGAAAAATGAATAATCCTACGCATGACAATTGTGATATTCACTTGACGATCTTGGAAATGTATGAGATCTAATAAGTCAGAATTAAAGGATATTGATTGAGTGTATGAGTACTACTGAATTTATTGAACGTGCTCAATAAGATAATATTTTGCAAGCCTCTAAATGAACTTACAAGAATTTAATATTCTTATTATCACAAACAAAACACAAAACAAAACAAAAAAGACTCAGTGTTTAAAGTGAAAAACAACCATTTGCACGGCAATATGATTCCATTATCATGATTATGGAGTCGCAAAAGCGATACGGGTATGTGATAAAATCCATTAAGTTATATCAAGAAGCTACAGATGCTGTCTTCTTGTAAAGCTGTTTTAAAAGTTACCATACCAGTTATGATTATGTTTACCAGTAATAAGTTTTTTTTTAAATATTATAAATGATAAATGACAATATAAGATAAAGACAGAGATGTCAAACGGGTTTCAATACCAGTACAATCAATGTAGGAGCTTTTTATTTTCTATATGTTAATTATTTAAAGGCACATTATGCCTCAGAACAAATAAATGTTGTTTTTTTTCTTAAGAAGGGAAAACATGAGTTCTATGCTATTTTATGTAATAATTTCAGAAGATGTTAGACACTTATTACCTTTAGAAAGCATCACATTATGTTAAATAGTTTGTCATAAAAGTAGCAAAATGTATACAACGAAGTATTTTGACTCCCACACAAAACACTTAATCACTGTAAATGTACTAAGTTTAGAAAGGCAGGAAGAGCAAAATATCGTCGTAAATGATAAACCTTTCAGGAATACAAAATATAAATATCATTGTAGAAATAATCATAGTTTATATGGCCTTTAATTTACTAACGATAATATAACGAACACATTAATATAAAGTACCTCTTGAAGTATTCCAGTCAGTCCAACAAGGATATTGAGGACGTGTTCGCAGGTAACAAGAGTAATGATGAAATCAAATCGCAGTATAGCACGCACGTGCTCCCCAGCCTTATCGTCATTGTCAGCCTCAAGAGATTCCAGGGCGTGAACGACAACTGAAAATGCCTGTTTGAAAGTTGTCAATGCATCTGCATGGCTCATCCATCTCGTTTCACAGAGGGTCTTGAGCTTCTGTCGACCTTCTAATTGAGCACGTGTGACGGGGTCTTCGGACAACTCTGTAACAAAAGCCTCCAAACGCTTCCCTGAGTAAGAAAATGCAAACCCGATATCTTGCACTGTTTTCATCATAGTTCTAACACATTGAAGCTTGCATGTGTGTACTACTGACAAGTTAAGGCAGTGTGATTTACAGTGCACGTAACTAGCAAGGGGTACGCGCTCACGCACTAACGCTTGAACACCGTTGTATTTTCCGGCCATATTTCCTGCTCCGTCATAACACTGACCACGTAACTTTAAAATGTCAAGTCCACAGCCTTGCAAATGGTCTAAAATTTCGTTTGCCAGGTGTACACCTTTAATAGAACTGCAGGTGACAAAACCGATAAACTTTTCAAAGAGTTGATACTGTTCACCGTTATGAACAACATAACGCACGCATATCGATAACTGTTCCTTTGTTGAACAGTCAGTAGCTTCGTCAGCCATCACGGCAAAAAAATCAGATTTTCTGCATTCAGAAATTATCTGCTGCCTTACTTGATCAGCACAGAGGCTTATCAGCTTATTCTGAATCTCGGGGGACGTGTATCGTGCGTTATCTTTTCCATGCTGAAGGTGGTTTGCCAGTAGAGGGTCAGTTTGTGCATGAGACTGCAACACTGCCATAAAATTACTCCGTTCTTCAGTATGACCCCTAAAAGGTATGTTTTGTTTCCCTAGCAACAGCACAACTTGAATAATCTTGGCTAGTATGTGCCTATTATGCTGCACTGTCTCCTTCGCTGTAGATGACAACTTGCATATTATAGATTCCTTCTTTCCACTTAGAATATCAACAAAATTATCTGCCATGACGATGCTATTCTTGTGAACTTCATCTACGCAATGGCGGGCCAACACGGTTGATATGTTTTTCCAGTCATTAAATGGAGTTGATGACAGTTCTTGACTTCCGGTTACTGAAAATCAGGCATGGAGCGCACATGACTAAGTCCATGGAAACCGAGTAAACCAGCCAATGATGAGATTTCAACCAGTTCTCGTTGAAACGCCGTAATTTACCACCGATAAATCTAAAACAAACGGGGGAAAATATATATTACAAGCTTTAACTTTCTTCACGTATAACCAAAAATCACGTTTAACCAAATAGAAAAAAAGATAGAAAAAATTCGCACTTTCGTATATATAGACATATCAAAATTAATGCACACTTGTTTGTTGTGATGCACTTTCTTTTGCTCGAAGTATACATTGGAAATCGACTAACAGCGTTTTATTGCGTGCGGGTCACATTTTTTTGTTTTTGTTTTTATTTAAGAATTCTGATATTCAGTTTAATCCTAATAGTTGTAATATAGGCCCTAATACATGTTAATTACTTCATTTTTTTCCATTTTCTACTAGATTTATAAATTTGTATTCTACCAGATTTCACATAAAGACAACTGACCTGGACGGGAACTTATATTTATGAGCATCAGTCCAAGGTTTTGAAAGCAACGACAGTTTGTCATTTTCATCTAAGTCAGCTAGTCTACCAGACACTGTGAAAACATCACGATAAGGAGGATCACATAAAACAGTTGACATTTTGAAAAAATGCCGCCTTAAAACTACCGCGCATTTCCGATGTAAACATTTCATACGGATACCAATGTAATTTGACGATAAAGCGCTATGACGTAGTGTCATTATGAAGGGGGACAACTGTAATCGTTCTATATGTTATACTGTACAACAAATAAAGCGTTACAACACAGAATAATGGAACATAGGTAGGCCACCCGAGCAAAGAAATATAATGTTTCCTTAGAGGCAAATAAAACATTTGATTTTAGACCACACGCGTCTTAACCCACTACCACCACGTACACCCCTCCTGTTTTTATTGTATTTTTGGGACTTTTGAAAATGTCATTTTCTTGACCAACTTGTAGGCCCGGGCCTACAGGGCCTAATAGTAGCTACGCCACTGACTTAGTGTCTGGCGCCCGGTTACTTTTTTGTACTTTGTTGGTTTTCATGTGGCAAAAATCACCTGCTATAAAATTTAGTGTACAAATTTATTCAAGGGCAAGTAACAATCTACTCTATGAAAAGTCTGTTGTCGGGTTGACTCAGGAGACCTGAAGCTTGGAAATTGAGACCAGTGTCCCTCCATTACAAATAGATAAGACAGAAGCTGTCCTTTTCAATCTATGCACATGTTAGAAAAAAATTAGAATAACCATTCAAAATATGATTTTTTGAGACTTTATCAATTATATTGCTTGATCCAAGTTTCAGGACATTTTCAATCAATACATGTATTATCATTTATAACTTTAAATGAAAGTCTCATCCCTTTAATAATAATGACATAACTGTAACTCTTTAAATTCAGAAATATTATAAGTCTCATCATATCAATATACTAAGATATACATATGTATGCACATAACATTAATAATTCCCAGTTTCTATTAAATAAATATGAAATCCTAACATTAACATTGGTACTAATGGATGGAATTCAAAATCTAGTAGAAAGAAAACTATAATATATAAACTCTGTTATAGATACTATTATTAGCCAGCTAACACTGGGTATAAACATCTTTAACCTGTAGACTGATCATGTATTATCATTTATAAATTTAAATGCAAGTCTATTCCATCATAACTGTAAGTCTTTAAATACAGAAATACACATTATATCCATATACTATGATACACTTGTATGCATATCACATTAATAATTCTCAGGTTCCATTAAAAATAAATATAACATCCTATTGACAGAAATTCATAATCTTGTAGAAAGAAAACTATATAATGTACATGATATTGTATAGTATAAAAGTAAAAAAAATCTCAAATAGTCTATATCATGTGATACAGATTAAGTTGTGTTAGTGTCTAAACATTAAATGCATATCTCTTACAGTAACAAATACTGTCCCTCTTTTAACCTTCCATTAGACTTTACTATACAATGTATAACTAACTGCATATAATGTAATCAAGTGTTTAAAATGAGCACCTATATGTATAGCTTAAATATTCTACCTTTCATTTTTACCAAAGGTTATTTTAGTAACAATTCATATACAAACACATAGAAAATAATAATTTCACATAGTGATTAGAAGATGCCTCTAGCAGAATACCTATAGGTATGTACATGTACCAACTGAACAAACTAGAAAAATCTGGTCTAGGGTATATCAAGCCACTAAAAATATATATCAATATTCACTCATCAGGGCCTCTCTGCTTTTGATGACCTTACAACTGGTAAATTTTATAAAAAACAAAAAAAGTTTAGTAATACTAAAGATAGAGTAGACAGAAAAGAACAAATAATTTAGTAAACATGAGTTACTTCCCCTTAAAAGACTGAAAACCTGAAAAACCCAAAAGAACACCCTAAACATTAAAATTACGAAATGTTGCAGGCTCAGTCAGTTTTATTAAGCCATGCAAATTAATGGTAAAGTATTCATAAAAAATAGATGACCATGTGACAGCAGTTATTGCAGAAAAAAATCGGATAGCTTTCAACATCCGGATACTGGTACACTTTGTTAAAAACAACCATTCTGTGCAACAGATCAACGTAATATGGATAAAATCAATAGGATAATCGTTAACAACAGTCCACTACCTATCCTTATACTCATTTGCAGGTGAACTTTCTTTCTTGTAAGAAAATTTTTGAAAATATATAAATGAATGAACGAAATGGTTACGGCATCAATGTAGACCACAACGATATTCGAAATCCGGGTTTCAGTATTGTCAATAAACTAAGGGACAGGCTGTTAAACTGAGCCTGCAATTTCGTGAAAATAATATCACAATGCACATGCTTTTTATATAAAGTTATTAAATACAAATATAACAACATATTTGTTTACTTGATTTTTACGAATCAAAATAAATCTAATTAACTCAACATGAAATTAACTGCTAATAATAACAGCTCCTTCCATAGGCAAAAATAAAAAGCATTCCATATAAGACGACGCCGCTCACCGGCGTCGCCAATGATACCGTCATTTTATCAGGACAGCTAGGTGCATACATGCATTAAAAGTCAGGTGTTATTAATGGTAAATGTAAGTATTTATGAAACTATATATTCAACAATAATTTGTGCATATGTTTACAAAGTTCATCGAAAACAATACCTTCTGTTTACACGTGCTTCATATGAAATGTTAAGTTGAATTTAAAGCATAAAAAAGAAAAGAAAATAACATCATAGGATATGACAATTTGCACAGAAACAAATATTTCGGAAAACAAATTGAAGGCGAACAACTGGCTTCCTTTGAAAAGGGGCAAAAGTAAGGTTAATTTTTTGTTAAAGAAGCGAACAATTAAGGCTTTGGAACTTAAAGTAAGCGATAAAAGTTATAGTTTCTAACCTTTAATCCAACAAAAATAATATAGAATACTCCTTATTTTACTGCAAGTACCAAAGTGCTTAAGGTTGTTGTTTGTGTGATTTGGTTGTACTTTACAGTGATTTGGCTGTAGAGCTATCTGCTCACTACATTTATTAAATAAGAACTACAACTTTCTGAAGCAGCCGGTATCCACGATTGACACTCTTAAATGTATTGAACATATACATGTATGTTGTAAGAAAAACAGCAGGTTGTGATTGGGGAATTGGCAAAATGAGAAAATAATTATCTATATACTTTTTGCCCCTAATGACAAATTCACATGTTTTGCGTTTTTAATAAACCCTATAAAACATCTAACTTAGTGTTTTGCATGGTCTTAAATTCAGCTTTTAATTTGTTAAAAGCATAATGTTAACTATCTACATAAGAATACCTTAAAAAATCCTGATTCATATTTGAGTCTGGCATGCTAAATGAAGGGAGTTTAGGGAATATGTTTGGGGGCAAATAGGGGAAAAAAGGAGCTAATTTTGTAAAATAAATTATTTTTATTTAGCTACTATATCAAACATTTATAACCTATACATATACTACAATATCATAAATTTGAAATCGGCTTGTGATCTCGCAGTCTCTATGAATAAAAAGTACAAGAAGCCAAAGACGTAAGCCAAATCGGTCAAAGCTCTTCAATATCGTCATTATTTTGACAATAGAAAATTATAAATGTTATCTATCTACATTTTCCTTATGGTTCTAGGAAAGTGGTTGTTTACACAATTTGGCTGTTTTTTTTTATTTTTTAATAATTTTCAGTCAATGCTTAGACGATTTTCCCACTAATCTCTATTAAGTCGAATTGCCAATTTACAGTAACATTGCTCCTAGACACAAATTGCCTCGTCTTATTCCCTATTCTATGCACTTTGCTATATTAAGCCTAAGCAAAATGCCAACAGCCATTAAGGAATTTAGATATCTAGAAAAATTGACAGTTCTGACTTTAATCAGCCGAATGATTGACTTTTCCAGTGCCAGCCAAATACCGACCGGAAACATCGAGTGTATGTACGGAATTTAGTAATGATTTTAGTACTTCACCTACGCGTTATATTTGACCAATGTCCACAATGCCAATCATTCATTGTGTTCTTTCTGTATAAATTGTTTTTGCTGATGGTTGATACCAATTTGCTGTTGCTTGCTTTTTTCCATCGTCCCCAACAGTACCAACTTTGCTGTTTTATTTCACACATCCATATATCGATTTGTTTTTCTTTCCAGATATTGCCATAAACGCATCAATAAATTTCTACGGTGTCTGACCGCGGCAATAAGCTATAGCAAACAAGTGTTTCCCGGCAGAAGCCGATCGATGTGACATCGTACTCCGGCAGTAATTCACCAACTAATTGCTCCTTCCCAGCATTCCTCTAGTCTCTGCTTGATTTT